TGGATTAGGCAGCAGTTTCTTACAGGTGACACCAAAAGCAAAAGCAACAAAAGAAAATAGGTAAATCTGACTTCATCAAAATTAAAAACTGTGCATTATAGAACACTGTCAACAGAATTGAAAAGACAACTCATGGAATGGGAGAAAGCATTTATAAATCATATATTTGATAAGAGTTTAATATCCAGAATATGTAAACAATTTATTATCAAAAAAGAGGCAAAGAATTTGAATAGTCTTTTCCCTAAAGATATAAAATGGAGTAACCATATGAAAACATTTTGAACATCACTAGTCATTAGAGAAAATGCAAATCAAAATCACAGAACTGGGCGCCAGTGACTCATGCTTGTAATCCTAACTACTCAGTAGGCAGAGATGAGAAGGATTGAGGTTCACAACCAGCATAGGCAAAAAGCAAGACCCTTTCTCAAAAATACCCAACATACACAGAAAAAGGACTGGTGGAGTGGCTCAAGTGGTAAAGTGCCTGCCTAGCAAGCATGAGGCCCTGAGTTCAAACCCCAGTACCACCAAAAAAAAAAGGTCACAAGGAGATACCATTTCATACCCATCATGATGGCTGTGATAAAAAAAAAAAAAAAAGATAGATACACATAGCTTAGAGTGGAGGTACACACCTGTAATCCCAGCCTTTTTTTTTTTTTTTGATTACTGGGATTTGAACTCAGGGACCTTGTGCTTGCTAGGCAGGAGCTCTCCCCTTGAGCCACACCTCTGGCTCAACTCGGGAATTTGAGACCAGCTTGAAGAACATAATGAGACCCTGTCTCAGAAACAACAAAAAGCAAGCAATAAGCAACGTTAGCAAATATGTGGAGAAATTGGACCCTCATACATTGCTACAGGAAATGTAAAATAGTATAACTGCGTGGACAGCAATATGGTGATTTCCTCAAAAAAATAATAATCACAAGTTAATATATGACTTCATAGGTATAGAGGTATACACCCCTAGGTATAAGAGTGGATAAACAGAATGTATCCATATCCTGTAATATTATTTGGCCATATTAAAGGAATGAAGTATTGATATATGCTATAACAAAAAAAAAATGAGCCCTACAAACATAAAAGAGCCACATAAAGGACTACATGTATGAATGCATTTTTATAAAATGTCCACAAGAAGGCAAATCAATAGAGATGCTAGCTTCCTGTGGCTGCTGCCATAAATTACTACAAACTTCGAGGCTTCAGTGTCTGGGTCCATGGCTCTTTGTATGTCTGTGGTTTTTTGGTTCTGTTTTTTGTTTGTTTGTTTGTTTTTTGAGATAGGATCTCCTGTGTAGCTCAGGCAGACCTTGAACTCGAGATCCTCTGCCTCGGCCTCCAGAGTGCTAGGATTGTAGGCATGTACCACTGTACCCAGCTGCTATATTTTGATCTATATTAGGAAACCTTTCAGTGAGACATAAAGTCTATAACTTGGAGCCTGCAGTTACTATGATTTGATCTAGGGCAGATCCTAGCCTTCACACTGCTATATCACTGTGTACCCCAGAGCTTATCCCCCACAGCACACGTTGGATGTGTGCAGGGCCCCTCCCTGACAATAACCTGACTGGGTCAATGTGAAGGCCTCCATCCTAGCTCAACACTTTTCCTACTAGTTGGCTATTTGAATCAGATCCACATCAGACCTCTCATGGTCTGTTGAAGGAATAGCACAGCCCGAGCTTCCTGAGCTAATGCCCAACTCACTTCTGCCTGTCCCTTAGCTGTGAACTGGGTGCTAGCTGGAAAGAGGAGAGAGTCTTGAAACCAAGAATGCATCCAAGGTGTCTTACTCATGGTACTTTCGAGTGTCTTGGTGTACCCACGAGGCCACAGTTCTTGGGAGTTTGCTGGGTGGCAGCCTGTCTCTCTTCCCATGTAAAGTTCCCCATTATCACCTGATGGTTCCATTGTTTAATTAGGGATTGCAAAATGCTGTTTGTCCTTAATTCTGGCTCTTCTCCCACATTCATTACATGGAATATTTCCATCAAGCTTTTTCTGGCTGGGCATGTTATGGTGCACGCCTGCAGTCCCAGCTGCTTTGGAGGAGGATTGTGGTTCAGTGCCAGCCTGCACAAAGTTGGTGGGAGACCCTACCTGAAAAACAAACTAAAAGCAAAAAGACTGGGCATAGCAGGGGTAAAGCCCAGGGTTCAATCCCCAGTAATGCCCCACCCCTCAAAAAATGCTTTTTGTCATCAGCTAGGGCTTCTTGGTTTTTTGAAACCTTGCTTCTTTGGGATTACCATGAATGCTTTTAATGGATCTTTCTAGCACAAGGAGTATCCCCCAGGACCTCTAGGGGGGACCTCAGGTGGTTTCCCTTGAGCAACATCTTGAGTTCAGGGCTGCATTTCTGGTGTGTTTTAGTCCATTGCATTCATCATTTTGATGTTTAGATGGTCTCATTCTCAACCAGTGTTAGCTTCCAAGCCCTTCCTGTCGCTCTAGGGGATCCTTACATGACCTCTTCGTCTTTTGTAGCTTGCTAGCATCTAGGGCCCACATTGGCCATTCCTCTGAGGAGTCCTAGGTCCTTTTGAGGGCAAAACGTTGGCATTTAGTGCATGCAGTGTGAGTGCTGCCCTGCTCATTGCCTGTGAGCCTTCCTGTGAGCAAAACTAAAACAACATGGGTTGTTTTGGGTTTTTTTGTTTGTAAGTACTGGGGGCTTTGCACTTGTTAAGCAGGAGTGCTACCACTTGAGCCACGCCTCCAGCCCTGCTCTGGTTATTTTTGAGATAGAGTCTTGCTTTTTGCCCAGACCAGCCTGGGATGACAGGCTCATGCCACCATGCCCAGCTTCTTGTTGTTGTTGTTGGGATGAGGTCTTGGGAATTTTTTTGCTCAGACTGGCCTGAAACTATGATCTTCCTGATCTCAGCCTCCTTGTAGCTGAGATGACAGACATGATGGGATCTTGAGAACTTTTTGCCTCAGCCAGCCTTGAACCGTGATTCTTCTTCATCTTAGCCTCCTGAGGTAGGATTACAGGTGTAAGTCACTGCACCCACCTTTGTTTTGGTTTTGAGAGTCTTGCTATGTAGCCCAGGCCTGCCTCCAACTCCTAGTCCTCCTGTCTCAGCCTTTCAGGCATGTGCCACCATGCCCGGCTGCAATATGCTTTTGAAATTACAACAAAAAAGCCGCATAATTTTCCTCTGATGTTTCCTAGTTAACTTTGCAGGGTTTTTACTTCTTTCATTTTGAACATAACGTCTTTTCTGTTACTATGAATATCTTGACTTTCTTATATCATTGGCATAGTTGTTTGTGTCACTCTCATATTACTACTAATGATAAAGTGTGGACTAAAACTTCCTAGCTCTGCGTGTCCTTAAGTTTTGTTTTTTTGTTTCCTTTAAGACAAAAGGCCACTCAAAAGAATTCTTTTCCTTATGTAATTCCAACATGAACTTGATATCCAGTTCACTTGTTTCAGTTGATTTCAAAATTTTAGGAGTTAATACCTTTTTCTTTTGATTGTTTTGTCTTCTCAGTGATGAAAGATTTACATGCTTTGGAAGTGAAAACTGGTACCAGTAAGTTTAGAAGAGGCTCAGTTCCCATACGTGTTGTTTACCTGTGATTTCAGTTTATCCTTCAAGTATTTCTTTTGGCAGATTTAAAGGTCATATACAATAGGCAACGTGTAGCACAGTGTGCAGTGGGCGTTTCTTTCTTTCTTTCTTTTTTTTTTTTTTTTTTAAGGCGTAGGTAAGTTTTTCTCCTTTCTCCTTTCTGGAGCTCACTCCATAGCGTGTCATTGGGCCTTTGTACTAGTACATGTCAAGCAAGTGTTGAAAGACACTCAGTGTGTGTGTGTGTGTGTGTGTGTGTGTGTGTGTGTGTGTGTGTGTGTGTGTTGTGTGTGTTGTGTGTGTCTATCTGTCTGTATGTGTGTTGCTGGGAATCAAACACAGGTCCTCATGCATGTTAACCACATGCTTTGCTACTGAGGCATATCCCCTACCCCCTGTAGCTTTTTTTTTTTTTTTTAACATTTTCCTGTAAACCAGGCATGTCAGTAGGACTTGCCTCATTGGATGGTTTGGAGAATTAAAGGCATTATTACTGGTAAAGTCTTTATAGCTGTGCCCAGCACCCTGTACCTTGTAAGTTCCTGAATATTGTCTGCTCTTGCTATGGGCTTATCACTTATAGTCTGGTAATATCTAGCCTTAAGAGCAGCATGGATACATAAAATTTTGATAGTGAAGATAAGAACAGTTTCCTGCTCATCAGCCCTTTTTCTCAGCTGTTCAAACAGAGTGGGGGTGCTTTTGAGCAAAAGGAAATAAATATCATTACACTTGGGGCTTTAACAAGAGGTCAGGTATGGACCTGTCTGGTTCCAGGTCTTCTCCTTGACCTTGGCTTGGCTGCTTTGTTTCTTCTGTTGAGCTTCCTTTGGCCCCTATACTTCCTTTGCCCCCCCCATTAGCCATACCTCCATCCTTCCACAGACATCTGACTGTGGGGGTCCCTTTCACCCCTGGAATGTTGTCTTTCCAACCAGAAATTGGTAGGGCTGTGTACCAGGAGTGTCCCTTGGTGACAGATCCTTCCAGCTACTCTCCTTTGAGTCTTTCCCCTTCATGATACTCTGCTAATTCCTTTAGCTGGAAAAAAGAGTGGTGATGGTGTTAGGAGGTGGAGTGTAGAAACTGATGAGAGATAACAAAGAGGTAGATAGTGTCCTGTGGTTTTCACATACACTCAAACATGTTTGTTTTCTTTTTTTCTTTTTTTGAGGGACTAGGATTTGAACTCAGGGCTTCACCTTTGCAAAGCAGGCTCTCAAAAAGCAGGGGTTCTACAGCTTGAGCCAAACTTCCAGTCCATTTTACTCTGATTATTTTGGAGATGAGCTCTCTTGAACTATTTGCCAGATCTGGCTTTCAACCACTGTCCTCCTGATCTCAGCTGCTGGTGCCCAGCAATAAGCCTCTTTTTTTTTTTTTTTGGTGTTAGGAAGTTTGAACTCAGGGCCTCATACTTGCTAGGCATGTGCTCTAGCACTTGAGCCACTTTGCCAGCCCAGTCATGTTTTTCTGTCCCTCTCCCTTGTCATCATGTGCATGCAGTCTAATGGACTCTCAGTGCTACAGTGACTTGGGAAGACAATCAGTCCTCAGGGTGGAAGGCTTTGCCCTTCTGGGCTACCTTGCTGGAAGCATGGGCATTTCCAGGGAGGGAAATGATGCTTCTTTGAAGTAGGATTTTAACTCAGACATCCCTTTGTTGATTACAAGACAGACTCATTGTGTTGATTGTTGTGGAATATTCCAGAGTGAGTGTTCTTGGGTGCATACAGAACAATCACTAGAAGGCAGGCTCTGCTGGGCAGTTTTAGGAATGTGTCGACCCAGGCAGAAGACCTGTGTGGGCAGTGGCCTTCACCTGCCACCCTTCAGTGGCACTTTGCTTCCTTCCTTCCTTGTCTGTACAGCCAAAAGAGGAACATGGATTCCTAGCAGGCTCAGCCAGGGGCGCCCCATGCAGATTTGTGTGTACATACCACGTGATCAGGGGAAAGGCAGCAACAGGCTGTGTATGAAGAATGAAAGTGTTTCCATGCCGATAGTGCAAAGGCTGCCCGCCCTCCGATTGTGCCTTCTGTGAGAAGAGGGAACTTGAAATGGCCCCCAGGTCTCTTAGCTGAGTGTTCTTCCCATCAGAGTGGAGGAGTTGCTTTCCAAGGCTCTCTGTGCCCTTCTTGTTTGTTTCCTTGTGCCTCTTGTTGGCCTCAGAGGAGATCACTGACAGCTCTCTGAGAGCTGGATTCCAGAGGAGGCTGAGCTGGATGATCTCAGTCAGCCCCAGAGGCCAGCAAGCAAGCAGGCTTGCAGGAAGAACCTCGGCTGGGTGGCTGGGCAGGGTGGGGGAGCCGCATGGCTGTGTTTCTCATTTGGGTTAAACTGCCTTCTGTTTTTGTTTCAGGACGAATACCTTTCCCTCGTGGCCCGGCTCATTATCCATTTCCGGGACGTCCGTAAGTAAGATCGCACATTTCTGGGTTGCCGCGATTGCTGTGAGGGCCAGCTCTAGTGTCTGTAGGCTCTGGGCGGTCTGCGGCCCCTGAGTTGGAACATCTTTATCCACTCGCCTGCTTCTGGAAAGTTCCTCACTGGATAGCATTGGATTCCTGACCACCCGCCCTCCTAGAGCCTCAGCCTCAAAATGTGGATTCTGACATGATGGGAATGTGAGGCTCAAAGTGGCCTAAACTGGGCTACCGTTTTCACTTGTCCACTTGGTATCTCTCTGTCCCCCTTTTAATAGGACTTTGCTTTTACCTCTGGGCGGTTCTTAAATAAGCAATTTACCTTGGAACAGACACTTTCTTCCCTAATGGTTTTTTTGGCCAACGGGATCCTGACCTGAATGTGTGTTTCTGTGAGACTGGAAGCTTCTGAGGTCAACTTCCTAAGTCCCCACCCCTTGCTCACTGCCATGCTTAGGGTCTCTTCACCTATCATTGTGCCCCTCTGATTCAGAGGGTTCTGCTGTGGTGCTGTCTGCCTGGCAAGGCAACAGCCCTGGATCTTCAGAAGTGAGTTGTCAAAAACAGCATTCCTGGATGAAGGCAGCCTATGAAGGGAATCGGGGTTGGCAGCTGTTCTGGGTTCTAGCCAGCAGCCCTCCTGCCTACCCTGGTTGTATAAACACTGGAGACTGGCTCTTGACATGGAACTCTTCTCCTGTGGTTTAGCAGCAGGTAGAACATGTGTTATAGAGGCAATTGCAGTTTTAGTATCAGTCCTTCAGGCCAAAAGGGGACATTGAGAATCCCAGAGCTTAGTAGGGTTTGCTCCATACTAACTTCTTGTCAGAATGAACAGCAAGGTAGATTTCATGGAATCTCACTTTCTTTATGGTGTTGGAAAGGACTGGAAAGTGTATTAGAAGAGAAGGAACCAAGAATCTAGGGAACAAGCAGCTGGTTGTTCTGTCTGGACCCCCTATACTTTGCTCACTGGGACATGGCCTGGTGATGCACATGGCCCATAGTTTCGTGGGTTCACATGGAGGAACTGACCAAGAAACTCTGGGCCACCAACTGTTAGGGCACTTCTTCCCAAGGGGCTAGGGCCAGCTGACCTGACTTCCAGCCTTGGGCAGTCTCAATTTCCTCACCTTGGAAATGGAGATGCTGCCTCCTCAGAGTGACTAAAAATGGAAATGTCAGATTTTCAGCATCTTCTAGCCCCATCATGGGTTCTTGACACTCTTGTTTGCAGCTCGGGACCTGAGCCAAGACTCTGAACCTGGAAGGAAGGGAAGGCCCAGAGTGCCCAACACCAGGGTGCCTCAGCCTTAGGGGAAGTTCCCTGAGGCTTCAGGTGGACCCCTGAGCAGCTCTGAGCCCTCTCCTCCTAGGCCCCCTGTGTGTGCAGCACTGCCAGAAGTGGACATCTCCTCCCCTGATTGCCAGAAGTACCAGCAGCTTCTTGGGCTTAAGGCCCTGGGGTCTGTTTGTCTCATTTCTAGGCAGGGTCAGTTCAATTTTAGCAAATGAATTTTGTTCAGATGCTTACAGAACTGGCTTACACAGGGAAAAATACTTGTGTAAAGACTGGTTACTTTTTTCTTTCCTTTTGTTTTTCTGTAGATAACAAGAAGTCTCAAGCTTCTGTCAGTGGTAAGAGTTTTTCCTTTTGAAATAAAGTTTTTCCCAACCTCAGTTTTGGGGCAACATTAACAGGCTAGTGCATGTTTTGTGTGCCTGGGATAACCTGTTGCTAGAAGAGAATGTTGAAAATATCTGACGAGGAGTAGGCTGACCAGCCATACCTTAGCCTTTCCTTCACCCTGCCTTACTGCAGACTAAATTCAGATGATGCCTCTCCACCTGTTAAGTCTGGCAAAAAGATTATAAAGTCTCACAAAGTTATTACTTGAGCTCTCTGGGAGAGAACTGTCATGGTATGTTAAGTATAATAATCTATAGAAGCATGTAATAGAAGGTAGCAGTAAATTCAATTTCCTTAAGTTATAAAATTTGAGTTCAGAAATATTTCTATACTAATTTCAAGATTTTTATCACATAAGAGGAATTGTGCCAGTTGAGCCCTGGTCTCTGCTGACTGAACTGCCCATGAAAGGGTTAGCTGATCCAGGCTGACTGGCTAATCTCTAGCCTGTCAGAAAGGTTGTGAGGGTTGGCAGTGTGGCTCAGTGTTAGAGCACCAGCTTACCTAGCAGGTACATGGCCCTAGGTGCAATCCTTAGCACCATACACTAAAAAGTATGAGCTGACATCATAGACTGTGAGGCTGTGTGACTTAACCCAGGCAGCAAAGCTATAAATGGGGTGCCCCGTGCCCATGTATGCCAGTGCAGTGATTTTCAGCCAGCCAGGCCGGAAAGAGAATGCCTGGGCTCTGTGGAGCAAGGGGTCATGGGGCACCACCTAATTCTGTGGCAAGGTAACCTAGCCAGGCTACACCTGTCTTCAGGTAGCTGCCGTGAGTCCACGCTATTGTGATGGCATCATGCTCCTTCTCCTTGGTTCTAGTATATAGCATTGCTCACTGAGCTAAGTTTCTGCTGGCCTGGGGCTTAGTTAGCACAGCTTTGCCCCTCAGCGTTCTGTAGAGCCCTCCTTTACCTTTTAGCCTGCTCTGGTGTGCTGCTTCTGGCACAAGGCCACACTGGGTAGTGTCCTGCAAAGGCTGAATAGCAAGGTGAGGCGGTGGTGTGTCAACTTACGTATGCTCTCCCCGGGAAGGAAAGGATCTACCTAGCCCCTCCTGCTTCTCTGATCTGGCCTCTGTGGTCCTGCCTGCTAGGAGAAGGGCCCTTCCAAATTTTTTATCTCTGAAAGTGCACGCTGTGTGTTCACCCAGCAGGAGGACAGCCAGGAGGGCCATGACACCAGCTGCCCATTTTCAGTTTAGCTATACACATCAGAGGGATTGTTTGTCGCCCAGCATCAGGACCCTGGCATAGGCCCAGCTAGGGATGTAGGGTGTGTTCTCTACTATTGACGGGCTCGTGTTGTGGCAGCAGTGACCAACATACCCAGAATCCTGACCCAGGGCATTTGGAGGCCACATGACTCTGTCTCTCAGCATTTGAGACTTTGAGTGGATGAACCCATAGGTGGAAGGAGGTCTGTGCCCCATGAACCTCACATCTATGAGCCTGCCCAGCTCACGGAATTTACCTGAGACACTGTGCCTTTTTCCCACAGACCCCATGAATGCACTACAGAGCCTGACTGGCGGACCCTCTGCAGGAGCAGCTGGGATTGGCATGCCTCCTCGGGGCCCAGGACAGACCCTGGGTGCAATGGGTGGCCTTGGTGCCATGGGGCAGCCAATGCCACTCTCAGGGCAGCCACCGCCTGGGACCTCGGGGATGACTCCTCACGGCATGGCTGTGGTATCTACAGCAACTCCGCAGAGTGAGTACCATGCTTCCTAGAAAATTTGCCACTTTCTTGGCAGGTGACACTGCATTTTATTCCTTTGTTCACAATGTTACTGAGAAGAGCATGGAGAAGTCCCAGGTAGCTCTGTCCTACTGTCTGTGTTGGGTATAGAAAGGAAAGCTCCAAACTCTCTTTGAGCTACTAGAAGAGTTGAATGATACTGGGCCCTACACCTAGTCCTGGGCAGGAGGGGGTGCTTGTAGGAGGCTGGGAGGGCCTGGAACGATATCCAGGGGGTTGTGTTTTGTCACAAAGATAGAAACAGTATGTTTCATAGGGCTGAGTGTGTGGCTCAAATGGTAGAGCACGAAGCACTGCTGTTCAAACCCCCAGTACCTTAAAAAAAAACAAAAAACAAAAACAACAGCATGTTTCAGGGGATTCTCAGCCATGAATCGGTGCCATGTCAGCATCTCATGATCCCACAATCTTTTCCAAGGCCCGAGGGATACCCTTCTGGCACCACTCTTGCCCCTTTGTCAGTCCTGGCTATGGTTCACAGCCATTCTTTGTCAGGGCTCCCCTGCCTTGAAGGAAGATGCCTTGTCCTCTGTGTTTCTTTCTGTACCACATGCCTCTTGTGTCTGTATGTGGCTGCCCTGACTGGGTGTGGGGCTGTAGTCAAGTGTACTGGTTGACTTTTTATCGTCAGTTTCTATTTTATAGTAAGAAATGGTTTTAAAATTATGGGTTTACAGTGCTCACGTGATTTCTTTTATAATCCTGTTCCTAAGTCTTTGTCTTAAAGTCTTATTTGTCAGAAGTTCAATAGTGTAGCTGTGGTATCCTGCTCACACCCTCCCCAGTGTGACCTTGGCCCACATCCTGTTTTCAGCTTCTACGGGGCTTGGTCTACCGGGTGGCACTAGTCGAAAGTTGAAGTGGTTCTCTGATTCTACATCAGGTTGCTCTCTCTATCAGAGACCCTCCCTCTCTGCCCTTGACCCCCTTGTCTCCTTGGTCTATCTGAAATAGCTGATGTCACCCAGTGGGTATCTGATATCTCTTCCTGATACCTTCTGCAAACACCACCACATAATTAAGGATGATTCAGGTCTTCACCCAGTGTCCCCAGTAAACAAAGCCTGAGTCAGATTTTGCTAGGGACTCTGCTGCTGTCAAAGTATAGAATAACCAAAGGTCACAAGAGTAACTTAGAAATAGGCGTCTCTTATAAAGGAGCTCTGAGTAGACTCAGCAGATTCAGAAGGAGAACAGAATGCTGTTTAAGCCTAACAAAGTACTACCAATCATTGTGTGCCAGCAAATGTCAAACAAGGCCAAGGAAAACAAAGGACTTTCACCAAAAGTTTTTCTAAAGGGCACAGTCTTTTATTCACTCACCATTTCCTCTTCCCTCCCAGGCCATTCTTTTAAGATGCAAGGTGTATTTATTATAGGAGAAGAAATGTCGAACATAAAAGTAGTAAATGTATAAACCTACACCAGTGACTCTCAACCAGGGTGATTTTACACCATAAAGACATTTGACAGTGTCTGGAGACATTTTGGGATGTCACAATTGTGGGGGTGCCATTGGCACATAGTGGATAGAGGCCAGAGATGCTGCTAAACATCTTACATAAGACAACACCCCACAACATGGAATGTGTTGTTGGAACCAAAATGTCAATAGTGACAAGATTGGGAATCCTTAGTATAAACAAAAACTACCTCTAAAATAATGCTCAGAGTTTATGTCTATACTCCTAACTACTTGGGAGGCTGAGATCAGGCAGTTCAAGGCCAGCCTGGACAAATAGTCCCGGAGACCCCGTCTCTAAAACAACCAGGGCAAAATGGACTAGAAGTGTGGCCCAAGCAATACAGCATCTGCTTTGCAAGTGTAAAGCCCTGAGTCCAAATCCCAGTCCCACCAATAGATTAGATAGATAGATAGAAAGACATACAGACAGACAGACAGATAAATAGGGATTGGGGGTAGGGGATATAGCTCAGTGGCAGAGCACTTGCCTAGCATGTGTGAGGCCTTGGGTTCTATCCCTAACACAACAAAAAGAAAAAAAGTAAATTTAGGAGAGAGGTTAGCATATTGGTAAACTTTACACTTTTAAGTTTAGATGTGATAAAATTGAAAAATAATTGCTAAAACAATGGAACTAATTTACAAATTTCAAAGCAGTAGGAAAAATGGAATAAGGAAAAAAAAAAGCAACATCAAAAATCTAAGCAACATATAAAGTCCAATCCAATCATCCAAAAAAATGCAATTAAAAGAAAAAAGCTTAGAAAATGAGAAACAAGGTCTAAGGATATAACTCAGTGATAGAGTACTTGCCTAGCATGCTGAAGGCCCGATTTCAATCCTTAGCACTCACTGCAAAAAAGAAAAAGAAAGACAATGGGAGACAAATAGCAATAAGCTGAAAAATATAAGTAATCATAATGTGAACTAAGCTTTTCTGATAAAAGATAAGAAATGTGATATTGAATGGAAACAATACAGCTGTATTATCCTTCAAGAAACATAGTATAAGACACAGACAGATTTGGAAATAGAAGATGAACAAAACTTGGGAAGTTACCTGAGTTCTCTTGGTAATTGCTAGTCAAGCAGACAAGAATTAATACATTAAGAGAAGATTTGAACAATGTAACAAACAACTTAATGCACAAGGTGGAATAGATGTCTATGAAAGTAAACCACAAACCAAGCCTCAGTAATTTCACAGAGTTATTGTCATTCACATTTTCTGACTGAGTTAGAAGTCTGTAACCCAGGCTGAGTGTGGTGGCTCACGCTTATAATCCTAGCTACTGGAGAGGTGGAGATTGGGAGGATCTGGGTTTGAGGCCAGCCTGAGCAAAAAGTTTGTGAGCCCCAGTCTCAACCAATAAAAAGCTGTGCATGGTGTCACATGCCAGTCATCTCAGATTTGAGGGAAGTGTAAATGGACACTCTGGCATAAGTGTAAGACCCTAGATCTAGCAGAGTGGCTCAAGTAGTAGGTAGAGCATCTACCTTGCAAGCACAAGTGTGAGGCTCTGAGTTCAAGTTCAAACCCTAGTACTGCAAAAAAAAAAATAGTAACTAAAACGTAAAAGGCTGGGGGTATGGCTTAAGTGATAGAGCATTTGCCAAGCAAGTTTAAGGCCTTGAACTCAAACTCCAGTACCTCCCCTCCTCCAAAAAGTAAAAATAAAAATAAAAATCCCAGCTACTTGGGAAGCAGAGACAGGAAGATTGCAAGTTTGAGACCAGCCCTTGCAAAGTTAGCAAAACCTGATCTCACAAACAAAAGGTCTAGAGGCATGGCTCAAGTGGTAGAGTGTTTGCCTAGCATGTGTGATACCCTGGGTTCAATCCCCTGTAACCCAGAGGTAACTTTGAGAGTTCTTATACTTACTTAGAATTGCTAAAATAAATCATGACAATAAGTGCTGCAGCAACATATTGCAGGTGAGAATGCAGAATGGTGCAGCTCTCTTGCTTATTTCTTTATTCGGTATTAAGACTTGAACTCAGGACCTCAAACTTGCTAGGCAAAGTGCTCTAACACTTGAGCCATCTCCCCAATCCAATGCCTATAACATGGAAATGATAAAAAAAAAAATTTTTTTTTTTTTTTTGGTGATACGGGGGTTTGAACTCAGGGCCTTATGCTTGATAGGCAGGTGCTCTATCACTTGAGCCATGCCCCCATCCCAGGTACAGCTTCCTTTAAAATGAGGCGTGCACCTCGGTTTGCATGCCCAACACTCTTAGACATTTATTCCAGAGAAATTGAAACTTCCTATAAACACCTGTGCACATAACTTTACTTGCAATAGCCTGGATCTGCAGTTACCTTTTGTATCCTCTAGCAATAGCCATACCATGAAGTACTACTTGGCAATAGAAGGAACTGCTGATACCACTACAACCTCGGTGAACTTTAAAGAATTATATGCATAGAAAAAATCCAGTCCCAAAGGGTTCATGCTATGTGGTTCTGTGTATATGAAACATTTTTAAATGTTTTTTTTTTAACTGTATAATTTTTAAGTCACGGATTTTTTTTTTTCTTTGCGGCACTATGGTTTGAACTCAGGGGCCTTATGCTTGCTAGGCATGTGCTCTTATCACTTGAGCCATTTTACCAGCCTAAATCACAGAATTTTAGAAATGAGGGGGAGCATAGCGTTTGCTAAGTCTTGGGGGGTGGGGTTGTCGAAGGGAGTTAGCAACTGAGGGATCCTTGTGATCTTAGAACCGTTCAGTGTCTTGCTTTGATGGTGGCTGAACCCATTCAGATGATAAAATTGTATTTAACTTAGTATAGCATTCACACAGATGAGCTCACGTTCTAGTTGTGATATTTTGTAGGTTTTTTGTTCTTTGAGACAGGGCTGGCCTCAAACTCACAATCCTCCAGCCCCAGCCTCCCCACCCCAAAGTAGTGGGATCACAGGTGTGCACCACCATGCCTAGAAATAAGTTAGAATTTTGCAAAATGTTACCATTGAGAGAAACTTGGGTTTAGCATACAAAAGATGTGTGTTATTTTTCAACAGCTTTATTGAAATAGAATTCTCATTAGCATATAATTCATTCAAAATGCACTGTTAATGGATTTTTGGTATATTCACAGAATTGCATAGCCATCATCTCAGTTTTAGAATATTTTCATCAAATGAAACCTCATCACAGAAAATCTTACAAGTGACTAGTGTTTACATTAGCATTATTCACAGTAGCCAAGTGGAAGCAACCCAAATGTTCATCTGCTGATGAGTGAATAAAACAAAATATGGAAAACCGATACAGTGGACTATTACTTGGTGATAAAAGTATACCAGTAAAGCTCATGACATTCCACAACCTGGGCAAACTTTGTAAATGCTATGCTAGGTAAAAGGAGATGGTCACAGAATAGCACATACTGTTTTGATGACTGGATCTCCTCTCCAGCCCAGCTGCAGCTCCAGCAGGTGGCGCTGCAGCAACAGCAGCAGCAGCAGCAGCAGCAGTTCCAACAGCAGCAGGCGGCGCTGCAGCAACAGCAGCAGCAGCAGCAGCAGCAGTTCCAGGCACAGCAGAGTGCTATGCAGCAACAGTTCCAAGCAGTGGTGCAGCAGCAGCAGCAGCAGCTTCAGCAGCAACAGCAGCAGCAGCAACATCTGATTAAGTTGCATCATCAAAACCAGCAACAGGTACCAGATTCCCCTGTTCCCACACCCGGCCTCCCTGCTTTAGTCCTTGATCCCTGGAACATGCATTGGCCACAGTGCTGGGTGCAGGGGCCTAAAACCAGCCCTCCTCTGCAGACTTCCTGAAGTGATAGACCCTGGCTTGGCAGGAAGGTGCTGCAGTTACAGGAGACTCTCTCATATGGTCCCAGGCAAAGGCCTGCTGTGAGGGCTGTAAGTGATTCATACAAGAATTAACTAAAGTGAGAAGAGAGGAAACACTCTGAACTCGGAGTGCTCGAGCTGTGCTATGGGCATGTTTCTTTTGAGGACCACACATGCCTCCTGTTTTGTCTCTGTTGATGTGTAGGCACAGTATCATTTGACCTCCAGCTGGTGTTCCGTGTGAGCCCCAATGGTCAGGAGCTGCTTTGTCCTCCCATAGATTGCAGTCAGAGTCTACACGTGTTCACAGTCTGTCCTCACGGCAGGCGTTAGTTGAGAGAGGAGAGCAACAAGAGGTCCTCCTCTACTTGCTGGTCCCTGTGGATCTTGGAGGCTCCTCTCCCAGAGCTGACAGTGAATCTTCAGCCCCTCTTGTCCTCTTCATCCTGAATAGCAGGCATCAAGCATCCTCATGAGACTTGTACTGCTGACTACTCCACTCCAAAACAGCATCATTGGAAAGGCCGCAGAATTCTGCAGTTGCCTGAGCTTCTAGCCCACTTGCTGTGGGATTGTACCTATTCCTTGTTAACCCTTCCTGAACCTTTGATACCTCCCTTGAGCCATCCCAGAGGTGGAGCCTATAGTGGCCAGGGCACAGACACATACTTAGTGTGATTTTGGTGTCTAGAAGACAGCTGGCATTGGCCTTGGGAGCTTAGAGCCCTTCTGTTGGACCTGCTTCTCTTCCCATGTGAGAGGTCAGCTAGACAGACCTCCCTGAAGGCTGAACTTATGCCCCCACACTGGGCTTCCTAGGCCCACAACTGGTTCCCCAGAGGCTGATGGGAGATAACCAAGTGCTGTTATTCTGTCTCTAGATACAACAGCAGCAGCAGCAGCTGCAGAGGATGGCACAGCTACAGCTGCAGCAACAACAGCAGCAGCAGCAGGCTCTTCAGGCTCAGCCACCGATACAGCAGCCACCAATGCAGCAGCCACAGCCTCCTCCCTCCCAGGCCCTGCCCCAGCAGCTGCCACAGATGCATCACCCGCAGCACCACCAGCCGCCGCCACAGGCTCAGCAACCCCCAGTTGCTCAGAACCAACCACCACAACTCCCGCCGCAGTCACAGAACCAGCCTTTGGTGTCACAAGCTCAAGCCCTCCCTGGACAGATGTTGTATGCTGCCCAGCAGCAACTGAAATTTGTGAGTATCCATGGCCCACCATGGAGCAATATGTCTCTTCTCACATCGTAGCATATGACAGCGGCTCTGTTAGCAGTTCCTGAGGCTCTTCAAGTACAGCATGTCCTTTTCTTTACATACTGGGCTCGGGTAGCCCTTCCCCATACCAGCCTTCACATGTGGCTCCATAGCACGGGCCAGTGAGAGAGCTACTTCTGCACACTGCACAGGGGCATCCCATCTTCCAAGTCTTGTGTCTGTGGGCACGCCAGAGTAGTGACCATTAGGTTGGCAGATAATGTTACTGTGCCAGAGGACATGCTGTATCCATTAGGCATCCACGGTTTTACTAACTGCTTGGAGTTAGATTCTAAGTCAAGGTGTTTTGGGGGATTTTTGTAGGGGAGGTTTTTGTTTTGTTTTGCTTTGTTTTTTGGGACTTGAACCCAGGGCCTCTTACAAGCTAAGCATGTGCTCTTCTACTGAACTACATACCCCCATCCCTGAGCCAAGGTCTTTTTTAGCCTTTTCATTTCCGTGTTTTTGAGAAGCATATTCATATAAAATACTATTTTCGGTTCCGTTGTACATCTCTATACTAAGTAAGTCCCTTCCATGATATTGATAGAGGACTGAATGTTGCCACCAAGATAGAGTAGGTAGCTGTGACCAGGGGCCATTTGAACACCTTTTTCAGTTTCTTTGGGTTTTGTGGCCTTTTCTCTTTGTGATTCACTGAGTGGCATGGGAATAGGCTCTCACCTGTGCTGAGTATTGAGGTGAAGAGTCGGACTGGGAGTGTCATGAGCAGCAGATAAAATCACTTACTTGGAGCCAGCCCACTGGGACCTAAACCTTTGTGTGTTCTTTGGTAGAATGTGCCCTGTCAGGATTGGGCCTCATGGCTTGGAGATGTTTAGGGAGGTGTTTTCTGTTGGTTTCTCCATGTGATGGTCCCCCAGTTGTCTGTCTTTCCTGTCTGGCTCTGTTGCCCAAGCTGAGCCTGCTGCCTCCTGGCCAGCACTGGTTTCCATGAAGGTGTTCGGGCTGGAAATAAGTGTCCTTGTGGCCAAAGGACAAGTGGGCTGGGCCGTGTGCTCAGCTTTGGAAACTATTGCTTTGCTCAAAGTGATGGTTGCTGTGATGGGTTTATGGAGAATGCCAGTGAGTGGGCTGCACTGCTTCTCGCCAGAGTTGAGAGTGGTGGGCTTGGCCTTGCCAATTTAGAACCAGGCTGATACGGGACAAATTTTTTATGTGTGTGTGATACTGGGCCTTGAACTCAGGGCCTTCACCTTTAGCCACTCCACCAGCCCTATTTTTGTGAAGGGTTTTTCAAGACAGAGTCTCGTGAACTATTTTCCCAGGCTAGCTTCGAACTGCGATCCTCCTGATCGCTGCCTCCTAAGGAGCTAGGATTATAGGCGTGAGCCACCGGCGCCTGGCCTGATGTGGGACCTTTCTGTAGACGTTATGAGACAGTAAGGTGACATCAAAGCCCATGGAGTCATGACGGTCCTATCTCGTATCTCAAAAAAGCTTTCATAGTTTGTGGGTGTTCTGCTCTGTGCCCCAGGTGGCTCCAAGTCACATTCTCTCTTCCTCAAGGTACGAGCTCCGATGGTGGTCCAGCAGCCGCAGGTGCAGCCACAGGTGCAGCAGGTGCAGCCCCAGGTGCAGCAACAGGCAGCAGTGCAGACAGCTCAGGCTGCCCAGATGGTGGCTCCTGGAGTCCAGGTGAGAACCTTGGGAGCCGAGGGCATCTTTAGTTGCTAGCAGGTGCATGACCACTCAAACACAAAGCTCTACAATGAGGTATCCTTGTTGGATTAGGTGCTAAGTTGGTAAAGTGCAAGTATTTTCTCCATTGCATTCTGTGAGGCACTCTCAAGGTCCTTAGGGTGGACTGTCCTGCTTGGTCACAATTTAGTTCTACCAGCTGTGTAGTGCCAGCTCCTTTCTCCCACTTTGAGAAGGTGTGTTAGAAGAACGTCCGGTTTCATCCTCCCTCAGCTTCTAGTGGAGAATCTGAGTCCAGAGCTGGCAGAGGTGGAAGGCAACTCTTTAGAAACTAGGGAGAATAATAGCACTGGGTTTCTCACTTCAGAAGTCTTGCCCAGGCATGTGCTGCAGCAGGAGTGTGAGAGAGGGCACAGTATGGGGAGAAGTATGTACCACTCCCATGTCACTGATTAGCGCATGCTCATTTTCTTTTTGTCAGATGTCAGTGGGGTGCTGGGGTACAGGAGGCTTTGCCCAGCGTGTGTGTGTGTGTGTGTGTGTGTGTGTGTGTGTGTGTGTGTCTCGGTGGGTGGGGCGGATTGAATATCCAGCGTCCCTGTGACTTGTCTGATAGACAAGTACACCAAGAGGCCTCACCTTCATATTGGCTAGTGTTTAGGGAGATACCTAGTTGGGGCCTTGGTGTCCCACTTGGTGGTAGAAATAGAGTTCTGACTCGGGTTGTCTTCAGAAGGAGTCAGAATGTGTCAGTGCATGCAGTGAGGCTGTTGCAGAGTCCAGCCTGCAGCTAGTATTGTGGCCATGCATGGCATTTCTGAGGAGACCTGTGCTGGCTGGTTTACCCGTAACCCTGCTGATGCTAGAATCCATGTCCTTGGCGCCCTGGGTCACGCACTTTAGGATGAGGCATAGCCCTCCTGTCAGACATCATTTCACAACTGGAAGGTGGACTCAGTGACAGCCCTTTCTGGTCCCACTGCATTGCTCACGTCCCTGGGACACTGTCTGAGAAAAGCACAACAATGGAGGGAGTCCAAGGTGTTTGGCTGCAGCTGAGGTGACCTCACAGCCTCCCTTGTCACTAGGGTTCCTGTGTTACCCACCTGCTCAGGTGTGGCTTTGTGTGAAGCTACACCATGGAGTTCAGGATTGTGTCTGGGGGAAGCTCATTGCCTGTGTGCAGTTGCAGTGTCGGGTGGGTCCTCATGCCTCACCTCCAGGAAAATCTGTCCCCTTGGTCTCTTGTGTAGAGGAAGGACTTGGAGTGTGTTCAGAGTCGGCACAATGGTGTCTCAGCGTGCCTTCCCTGCCAGTGGAAATTGCTGCTCTTGCTGCTTTATGACCTTCCCTTCCCATGCTGGGACCACGTCGTAGGAACTTATGCACCTCTGGTTTGGCCCAGTATGAGAGGGAGAAGCTCCTTTTCATCCCATCTCTGTGTTTGGAAAGTAGTCAACCAAGAAATGGGTGATGTGTACAGCTGGTGTGAGCCGCATCTGCTGACTTGTTCACAAACTGCTAGCTCAAGGAAGTATGTGTCCTGCCACTTTGCAGGTATCTCATTGGCTACTAGAGGCAGGATGCCAACTGTGTGTGCTCAGTACCCTGCTCTGAACCTGTGTGCGGGTGCGGGGAATGGCTCTTCCTGCTGGCTCCACACCCCCTGCTTCAGGTGGAGGCCCCCATCATGTTAGTGTGGTGGGAGTGTGGCCAGCCATGGGCACAGTCACCTCTGAAGCATACATCTTGATTATTAACGTCCCTCCCACCAAGGTCTCAGGTCCATTTTTGTTCAGGTGGTGGCTATGGAAAGATTGCAGGATCTCTGGGAGCTAGGGAGGTGGAGAGTGGTTATCACTGTGGTGATGGGTGGCCAAGCTCTCCACCAGGGATAAGTGTTCTAGAAAAATTGGTCAGCCCTATGCTGTGTTCACCTGGCTCTCTTTTATCTTAGGTTGCTTATGTAGCTGGGAGGGGCAATATCACCTGCAGTGGGATTTACTGGGACCCAACAGACTTCTCTTTCCTCCTGTAAAACCAGAACAAATTGTGTCTGTACTTCAAGCAGTCCTATACCTTTGTCTTTTAATCTTCTGTTCTTCATGCATGTGAAAACTTAGCTGTAAGTCACAGGTTTGTACGAATTGTCATCAAAGACAGGCATCTGATATGGTCGCTCTCTGACTGAGCCTTGTCCAGCCGCAAAGGACCTCTGTTTTCCCTTGAAACTCTCCTATACAGTATGGCCACAGCAGGGAGAGCCAGGCCTACAGCCTGGGCTGGGGTGGAAGCTCCTTCCTTGGGATATCTTTCTGGGTAACTGTGTGATGGGAAGTAGTGCTGTGTCATCAGTTGACTGCTGGCTTGTCTAATCCAGTGAATACTGCTGGAGTTTTCTCTGGAATTTTTGACTAAAAGAAAACTTTCCTTGACAGTTCTCCTTTATAAGGAAACCAGCCAGCGGAAAAGTAGACTTAAGTTTTTCATTCCTTATTACTTTTCTTATTCCTGGAATAAAGTTTGCACCTCTCATACCACCTCACTTCCTACCAGGCCTTTCTGCCTTCTGGAAGGAACGCTGTTAGGCTCCTACTGCAGCGGCTAGTTGCGTGTGGATGCTATTACTGCCACCTGCCACCCAGTTCTGCCAAGAGCCCAGGACAGCATTACTTTCAGTCCCTCCCTCAGTGCAGATGTTGGGCCCTCACATGCCTCCAGCTCCCTTTGTGTCTGACATTGTTCTGGTGGGGAGGGGGGTGGACTCTTTGGGGATCATGTCCATATTTTGACAGACAACATTGGGATCATGCTCCATGCCTCATTCCTGCAGCAGTTGTGAGGTTCTTGTTGGCCTCTCTACTGATGCCTTGTCACCAGCTGGTAACTGCAAACATTCTGTGGATGTGAGCATGGGCCCCTGTGACACCGTAAGTGTCCCTGCAGGCCTGTGTCTTGCTTTGGAGCCTTGTCTCTGCTACTTCTTGATATGTGTATTTAATGGCCCACAGGACCTTCTTAATCTGGTGGTCCAACTCTCAACTTCCTGGGGTTTAATGGTGGTTTTGTCTTGTTGGGTGATCCTGGAATTTGATCCTGCTTCTAGGCAGATGTTCTACCACCTGAGCCATGCCCAAAGCCCTTTTTACATTAGTTATTTTTCAAGTAGGGTTTCATATTTTTGCCCAGTTGATCCTCCTATTTACACCTCCCGAATAGCTAGGATGACATGTGTGCACCACCATATCCACCTTTATTGGTTAAGATGGGGTCTTCCTAACTTTTAACTTGACCGGAGTAGCTTGAATTCCTGGGCTCAAGCGATTCTCCCACCTCAATGTTTTATTTTGTGCATCAGTGCTGCTTTCTTTCTGAACCCAGCCATATTTTGTTCTAGTTTTTTAACAGTCTGAATGCATGCAGGCCCTGCTTTCCAGGTACCAGGCATCCCTAGAGCTAGAGTAAGGGTGGTGGGGCCCAGAGCCATGACAGTGTTCAGCCTGCCTGTTGTAGTTTACAGTTCAAGAACTATAAACTGACACTGGAGAGGTCCTGGCTGGTACTGGCGTTCGTGCCTCTGCAGCCATCTTTGACGTTTTGGAACAGACCCAATTGATGTCCCTGTGGCGGTATGAGATCCACCAGGTGGCAACTAAAGTTCTCCTGGTGCCCCCTACCCTCCATTTTTCATTATGAAAGAAAACCAGTTCCTTTATAGCCACAAAGACCAACAGCCCTAGAGAGGCCTAGAGGAGTCGAGGGTTTGGAGGAAGAATGATGTGGTCAGCGGGCTTACCTGGGCTCATTTTCTGTTTCAGTGATGGTTGGTTTTTCTCCTAGTAAGCCTTGATGGCATGTCCTCTTTTCCAAGTCTGTCCTAAGAGCTTGATCTCTCAGAACTGCCTGAGCCCCGGAGGTCTAGCTCTGATGCTGTGTGGGCCACAGGATTCTGATGTGTCTGCAGTTCAGAGGTGTGTCCAGGATAACCAACACAGAAGTGTAGCCAGTGGGATAGGAAGATCCAGAAGCAGCATTCCTGGTAACTTCTAGATTCCTGGTGCCTAGCCAGGCCTGGAGATGCTGTGGGCCAGAACACATCAGCAAGCTTCCCTCCTCCCGGGCTGCCTGAGCTGCCCAAGTGTGCCTCACCTTGGCCCTCCTCCTGCCATGCACTGTGATTCTTGTTGCGATCACCTTGTCTGTTGTCCCTCTGTCCTCAAAGATGATTGCTGAAGCCTTGGCCCAAGGCGGGACGCACGTAAGAGCCCGGTTCCCACCCACCTCCACCATGTCTGCCATCCCGTCGAGCTCCATCTCTTTGGGCGGACAGCCCACAGCACAGGTATTTACGGGCCGGGCGGCGCATAGGGCTCGGCCAGGAGCTCGGGGTTCTTAGTGCCTTTGTAAAGTGCACTTGTCATCATTGGTGACTTCCTTCATGGTGCCTTTCAGAGTACCAAACCCAGTATCACTTTTTCTTGTTTTAGGCCAAGCCCAGCTGGTGTTTCTTGAGGGGATATGAGCAAATTTCTAGAGTTCTGTGGGATTTTTTCCTAGTTTAAAATAGTCATGCTGCTGTCATTTTCATGGTGAAATAGAAGCCAAGCAAACACTTTGGCTTTCTAGGACTATGTCTACTTACATTTAAATTATTAATTAAAATTAAATAAAACTAATAATTCAGTTTCTCAGTTTTACCAGTTACATTTTGAGTGCTCATTAGCCCTGTGGGGAAGCTAGTGGCTGACAAACCAGACAACGCAGATCACAGGAAGTGGCCATCGTGGGGGAAGTTGGGTTGGCCTACCAGGCACAGTGAACATACTACACACACACACCTTCTGAGGTAGGTAGACTCCTGGGTACCCATGTTTTTCAGGGCAGTGAATTCCTTTTTTCCATTACCACGTGAAGTTTGAAATCATCCCACAGTATATTCATTTGTTTAACAAATAGCTATCACCTACATTCCAAGGGGCCAAGCACTGTTCTAAGATTCTGAGAATAAAATGACACTAAAGTTTGTTCATCATACAGGCTTTCCATTTTAGTGAGTTCATTGTGAAAACCTCAGATTTGCTAAAAGACCTTCAAAATTTTCTTTTCCTTCGCAGGGATGTGTGTCAGTAAATACCTGCCCTTTCCTGGGGGCCTTGCTGCTGTTGCACCCCTGCCAGTGTGGTGGCACCTGTGTGGCCTCCTCTGAAGGAGGAATCCCATGGGGTTCACAGGCTCAGGCGGGCTATTGTGTGGACAAATGTCTTTAGGACCAGCATGCAAACCTGTTTGTTGTGTGTGTGTGTGTGTGTGTGTGTGTGTGTGTGTGTGTAAACAAAAAGGTCCCCCACATTTTGAGGGAGTAGTATATGCTAGACCTTGAGCTAGATTCTTCATGAGCAGAATCTCTTTGATTCTCACTGCAGCAGGTTATAGTTTAGCCTGAGAAGGGCCTAGGAAGCTGGCATGTTGAGGATCAAGGGCTCAAATGAAACCTCAGACCTCAGTCTCTCAGGATTCTTCTGGAAGCTCCTCAGCCCCACTCTTGTTGCTGATCAGATGACCTTGCTCCTCCTCCTAGCTGACAGGGCCTTCCTACACTCCTGGGTAGACTTCCTGTCCCTTGGAGCTCCAGACTCCTACAGTGCCATCTTCTGGACTGGGCTGCTTCTTGTCTACTTCTGCTGTGGGGTGCTCACTCCCCACACAACCAACCCATCCTGCCCTTCCACCGGCTCATCCACTCATGGCCCTCAACCCATGCAGTCCAGCATCCTGGCCCCCTGCACTTCAAGTCTGTCCCTGTGTTGTGCCCATTAAGTAGGTTTTATTGTCATGCTTCCCAACTCCAAAAGCATGGAAGTTAGGTGGAAGGTTAGAGAGAATGTGAGAAAAAGTTAGCACTTGGTTCATTCTCACTGCATTCCTCACTCTCACAGATTTATTCATCACCACCTTCCCCCTGTTCTGCTTGCAAGTGGGGAGCATGCTACTGAAGCTTTGGGGTGATGTGTTGAGGACAAATGTGGCAGCATTTAAGAAATACTCCTATCCCAGTAGTATACTATAGCTAGAGGATTTCTGGTAACAGGAAACTTGGGAAAGTTTTTTTTGCGCAGTACTAGGGTTTGAACTCAGGGTCTACACCTTGAGCCATTCCACCAGCCCTTTTTTGTGATAGGTTTTTTTCGAGATAGGGTCTCACTAGTTTGCCTGGGTTGGCTTTGAACAGAGATCCTTCTGATCTCTGCCTCTAAGTAGCTAGGATTACAGGCGTGAGCCACAAGCGCCTGGCTTGGTTTTGTTCTTTAAAGCAGGCTTATTTGTTCATTCCTGTTGAGAGGAAGGCGGTGCTGAGAATAATTAGAGCAAGGAGAAAAGTTCATGGAGAGAACACTGCAGGGGAAGACTCCCTGAAGCCAGACAGTGCTTTGCAACCTGTCTCCTCTAGGCCCTTCCCACAGGGAGCTTCCCTTCACTGCCTTTATATGGCCCATGATAGGGGCTTCAGACCCTGTCTCTCTGGGAAGCCCCCTGCACACTTGGTTGTGAGGGACCTCTGGGTAAAGGAGCCATGACCATGTCAGAGCCTCAGAGGCACTGTGGCCCTGTATACTGGGGCATCCGTCTACTACATAGTAGACATCTATCTACTATATCGATAAGCGCCAGAAACCATGCACCCCTTTAGGAGACTGTCTTTCTAATCCAGACCCTCCCAAGAAAAGAGCCTCTCCCAGGAATATACCCACAGGAGCTGGGGGCTCAAGTACATGCCTAGCATGTACCGTGTCCCAAATTGCATCCCCAGCACCATAAAGATAAATAAATAAAATTTAGCTGAGAGCTGCCTCATTGCTTATCTGCCAGTGAGCCTGGCTGGAACCTGCACCCTGCTTGAGCTTTACCACACCTAACCTCAGCATGCCCTCCTCAAACAGCCCAAGGCAACAGGACACACACCAGCATCCACACTGCCTGTCTCTTTTACTCTTCCCTGTGCAAACAAACTGAATCCAATGAAACAGAAAAGCAAGTAGAGCTGTAAGCTTTCTGTCATGTCTTATTGGGACCCCTGTCTCTGTCCCAGTGTCCCTAGTCTAATTCATGTCATGGTGGAGATTCTCCATGGACCCCGATGACCATGGGCAAAGAGAATACTTAGAGAAGGGAGAAGTCCCAGATACTGTGCCCAGCACAGGGGGCCAATGCGGTGACAGGCACTCTGTCCCAGTATTTTCTCTGTAGGTGTAAGCCAGTGGCACCACAATGGAACCATATTCCCCTGTGCACTGGAGAGCAGTCCTGGAGGACATGCTGAGTACTAGGCTGGAAGCGAGGGCCATTTCTGGTATCAGTTAGGTATGGGTGGTGGGAAAGGGCTAGAGTTTATGGTGCCAGCCTGTTCTGAGGTTTCTCTGGGACAAAGCTCTCCGAACCTTTCTGCTCTACTGCTTCCAGGCCATGGCCCCTTTGCCCCTCTGCCCTCCCACTTCTCCCCTCTTTGTATGTATTCTACTTTCTTGACCAAGCAATTTTGAGACCCCCACAGCCTCTGTGAGCTGCTTGCAGGGTCCCTTTCCCAGGAAAGGAAGCGGGTTGTGCCATCCCCTGTGACACACTAGATGTGTGACCTTAAGCAGGTCACCTCCCTCTGAGCTCTCATTCCCGCCTGTGGTTTGCATTTGACAGATACTGTAGGAGGCATGTGGCAGACACTCAGAAGCTCCTCCCCTGGGAGGTGTGCCATTCTTATCTTGTGGCTTTTGCCTAGCAACTATGACAGACGCAAGCCTGGGCCACTGGCGGAATCAGACTCTACTAGGCTTGTTCTCTGACTGACTCAACAGCCCTTCCTCCTCTCCCAGGGGCTGGATTTCTTTCCCATCCCATGCTGCTCACTTGGGCAGCTTTGTCTGCATATGTGTCTTGGGGGGCCACTCCTTGTACTGGGTGTGTCTGTGGAACTTGGACCACCCAGTGCCAATACCTGAAGGATGATCTGGAGCTCTGGTTTTGTGCTTGGGATGTGAGGGGCCTTGCTTTATTTTCCCTCCTGCTGGAAAAGATCTTTCCTGCCTTCCATTCTCTGGGGTTTGCAGGCTGCCCTGGCTTGGAGCAGCTGAAGAACCACCTGGAGACCCTGTAGATACTGAAGTGGAGGTGCTTGGGCTTCCTCCTCTGAGATGTGGAGGAGGTTCAGGTGACAGATGGCTGCCCAGATGGGTCTGGAGGAGCCTCCTGCATGAGGAGACCTGCATGTCAGCCTGGACCCTGGAGCATGTAGGAGGAAGCTTCCAGGTGTGCTAGGGGAAAGGAGAAGCATGTTGCTGGGGACCTAGATCCCACTAGAAGGGAGAGGCCCCTGTCCTTGACGGCATGACCCAGTGGGTGGGCCTGGGTGTTTTGTTTCCTCTGGAGGCTTTCTCTGCTATCCATTTACGTGTCTTAGACTGCTGCCTCATGCCTGGAATCCCTGCCCTGCCCTCACCAAGACCAGAGGGGATTGGCAATGTGTGTACACAGTGTGCTCCCTGTACCTTCTGGTCTGGGTGCTGAGGTGGGAAGGTAAACTGTGAGGGGGCCTTTCCTCCATCATGGCCCAACCATGTGCCCTGCACCCACAGAGAAGCACTGAGCTTTGGGTTACAGACGGGGACCAACTGTCTCCTTAAAAGGGACAGTTGCCGGCTGGGCGCCAGTGGCTCATGCCTGTAATCCTAGTTAATCAGGACGCGTAGATCAGGAGGATCGAGGCTCAGAGCCAGCCTGGGTAAATAGTTTGTGAGACCCTCTCTCAGAAAAAAAAAATAATAATAAAACCCATCACAAAATGGGGGGTGTGGTTGGTGGAGTGGCTTAAGGTGTAGGCCCTGAGTTCAAGCCCAGTGCTGAAGGGGAAAAAAAAAGAGGAGGGGGACACAGCTGCTTGAGCAGTGACTGAGTATAGGTTGCAGCTCAAGACAGAGAAAGGGAAGGGGTGGTGGGGTCTCCAAGGTCATGTGAGAGGCAGGAATTCACTGAAGGGAGGGTCCTGGCTGACAGGGCTGGGCTAGGCATGGCGCCTCAGGGCCTTTACTTTTTATTCCTTGGTGCTATCAGTAATTCTCTGCATACAACTTTCTGGTCTAAGATTTTGTTGGCACATGGATTGATTCTAGAAGTGTGTCTTCAGTGTGTGGGACATGTGCCTGCCTTTGTCCCCCCAGGGCTTGCAATGTACCCCACCACCATGAGTATATTAGACCTACATGGGAAATACCAGTTGTAGTTGTGAACAACAGCATTTGCAGATGAAACCACACCAGTCCCATGTCTGACCTTGCTGACATTGGTCTGAGTCTCCACTCAGAGTGACGGGCCCAGCAGCTAGAGGCCGGCTATCTCACTCTTCCCCTTCCCACCCTGAAGAGTGTCTTGGTCACAAAGCAATGAAATCAGTTCATTCTGTCTGTTATTGCCCACAAGACCAGTGCCTTGCCTCTCTGGCCCAGGCTCGTGGGAAGTACCTGTTTGCATGGCACCCTGTGCCTGGGTGCCACCTACCACTCTGGTACATACTCCCAGGGGCAGCCTCCACCCAGCACCCCAGGCTGCACTGTCTGGTGCTCAGTGGAACAGGTTGGGGAACCAGAACAGGAGAGAGACAGCATGCCACTCACTCTGTGAGCTCTGGTGGGTGGGACTGAAAGGATTCATCAGGCTGCTGCTGGTAGGCCCCATACCCCCCAGTGCCTGGCCGGTGGGTTGAGCAGGCAGGGAGAGCGCGCATCATTTTCCTGGTGGACTCTGGGCCTGGTTCCACTCCAGGAGCTGAGAAGCCTCAGAATAGTCCTTACCTAGCACTCTAGGATGTGGCAGAAGAGTGTGAGAGGAAGGCATGAAGCTATGGCCTCAGACGAACTTCAGATACAGCATGCCTCAAGAGATAACACCTGAACAGCCCAGGTGCTGTGTCGCTGGGAAGCAGACTGTGGGAGATGTTGGCTCATGGTGATTCCAGTATAGCAAGGGACATCTTGTACTTCTCTCCTAGAAGGTGAGGGTACACATGTCCTATTCCCAATGCCCAGGTGCTGTGGTTTCAGCCCTTGGAAACTTCACCAGTTGGAGGTCACCCTGGTTCTTACAGAACCTGTTTGTGTTGTCCAGAATGCAGACTGGGGAGCAGAGAGCAACACTGTGGACAGGACTGGGCCTCTGAGAAGTAAAGGTGTGCACACCTGCAAGGCAGAGCTACACTTTGAGAGCCCAGGCAACTCTGATGCACAGTCACTTGTCCCTTCCAGTAGGCTCTGCCAGTACAGTTGAGAGGTGCTGGTCAGGACCAGGGACAAGAGTGAGGCCAAAGCATGTCACTTATGGATATACATGTGGCTTCTTGGGCCACCTAGCTCCAATTAAGCAGGTCCAAGTGGCTAAAACATAAGTCACCATGTTGTCACCACCTTGAAGCTGATCAGGTGAAGAGGTGCCACCTGTATGTCAGGCAGGGTGGAGGACTTGCATAGCTGGCCTTGTCCTTGGGGCAGTCAGCATGGGAATTGGGAGGGTTCCTAAGGCACATGGGAAGACTGTCCTATAGGTCAGCAGAGCAGAGTCCTTTCTCACAGACAAGAGCATCCCAGGCCTCCCTGCTCCTCACCCCACGTCTGAGAAGCAAGGGCATGGCCATAGCTGTCCCAGCCCAGAAGTCCAGGGGCCTCATGGCCCACATCAAGGAGCCAGGCCTCCCTGCCTGGTCTTCCTACCAGCCCCTGGGACACCACATCCCATGTGCTCAGGGGAGGGGCTTGTGCCTAGGCATGTGTGTGGCAGCATTCGGGAGTCAAGGGTATGGGGTGAGACTGGGGATCAGCCCTGGGTTCAGGGGGCAGGCAGTATAGAGGCAGGCAGGAATGAGTGGAAGTGAGCCGGCTGAGCCTCTCTGCTTCTAGGTCAGCCAGAGCAGCCTCACCATGCTGTCCTCGCCGTCACCGGGCCAGCAGGTACAGACCCCACAGTCGATGCCCCCTCCCCCTCAGCCGTCCCCACAGCCTGGCTCGCAGCCCAACTCCAACGTCAGGTAGGCTGGCCAGGGATGCCCCTCCCTTGGGGACAGGCCTGCCTGGTGCCCCACTCATACCTTCATTTCATTTCGCTGCAGCTCCGGTCCTGCCCCGTCCCCCAGCAGCTTCCTGCCCAGCCCCTCCCCGCAGCCCTCCCAGAGCCCAGTGACAGCCCGCACTCCACAAAACTTCAGCGTTCCCTCCCCTGGACCTTTAAACACCCCTGGTAAGCTGGGCCTGAAGTTGGGGTGGATACAGTCCCATGGGTCACCAAGAGTCACCTTCACCATCTCAAAGCCTCAACTTGTAAGGGGTGCATGAGCTTTCACTCTCCTCAGGGCCTCTGTGCCCCACCGAGGGTTTTCAGAGAGCTAGCCTCACCTCCATTCCTGCAGTGAACCCCAGCTCCGTCATGAGCCCAGCAGGCTCCAGCCAGGCCGAAGAGCAGCAGTACCTGGACAAGCTGAAGCAGCTTTCTAAGTACATTGAGCCCCTGCGTCGCATGATCAACAAGATCGACAAGAATGAAGGTGGGGCCCGGGCTGGGCACAGGGGCCCTGTGGACGCCCTCAACCTGTGTCTCAGTGTCCCCTCTCTGTCCCAGACAGAAAAAAGGACCTGAGTAAGATGAAGAGCCTTCTGGACATTCTGACTGACCCTTCTAAGCGGTGAGTTTTGTTTGCCCAGGAAATGGAGAGTCCCCAGAGCTTGGTGACAATATGTGTTTATAGTGGCCCTGCAGCTCTGTTGGTCCTGCCAGAGGCCATGGAGGTTCCACACAGGCGTGTGCTGAAGCTTCACGCCTGGACTTCACCTGCTCCAGTGTCCAGCCCTATTCTGGGCCACTGCTTTGACCCTCATGCTTCCTCCCTGTGGCCAGCACACCCTGACTCATCAGGCCACTGGCCAGATCCTAGTTTGCAGTGGGCTCACCATCAGCTCCGTAACAGCCTAGCTGAGTCACTGCAGGTCCAGTCGTGAGAGTGCCTGCTGGTGGTGGAGATGATGGGCTGGTGCCTGTGAGAAGCTGTGGAAGGCAGTGGCCAGCCAGGTTCTGAGGCCCTTCTTCCCACTGGCCATACACTGCCGTGAGCACCAGATCTTGGGCAGTGCCGCAGGGCTGAACCCAGTGGATCTTCTCCTATCTTGACACCCCACCCCAGCTCAGGCTCTGCTCCCTTTTTAGTAGGTTGTCCCGGTTCTGCCTGCCTGGATGAAATGCCAGTTGCTGCTGGCCTTTAGGCCCTCTTGCATTGATTCTTCCTTGGAGTTAAGAGGCCAGAGACTGGCCTAGAGAAGACTGAAACCTTCTCTGGCTGGCCCAGCAGCAGCTGTTGGCCTAGATGGGTTTCCTGTGGGGGTTCCCACGCAAGGCAGGCAGTGGTCGGGAACAGCACCCAAGAATCACCTGTATCATTGGCCCTCCAGCATAGAGGGGGCAGCCCACATAACTTCTCCCCTCAGGTGTCCCCTGAAGACCCTGCAGAAGTGTGAGATTGCCCTGGAAAAACTCAAGAATGATATGGCGGTGGTGAGTAGAGCCCCAGGCACCTCCAGGAAGGTCCGCCCGCAGTCCCCTCACCCCAATTAGCGCCTTCGTGGACAAGCATCAGTAAGGCCTGGGGCTGGGCCTAACTGGAAACTGCCCAGGAGGCTTCTTCCAGTCCAGTCAGCTGTGGAGAATGAGGACATGGAAGAAGTCACCCTTGATCCCCTTGGGTACTGCATGTTCCAGCCCTGCCCAAGGCCCAGCCTGGAGGAGGGTGCCTGAATGGGAGTGAGGCCACGATGGGTGGGGTTGTCTGCATAGGGGTGGAGGCTGTGGGTGAAGTTTCCGCTTTGAGTGAGGTGAGGGCCCTGGGGTATACAAGGCCTCTGCAGGGTGGGTGAGTCTGTGGGCTCTGGCTGCTGACCCTGCCCATCCTGTCCCCAGCCTACCCCCCCACCACCCCCAGTGCTGCCAACTAAGCAGCAGGATCTGTGTCAGCCACTCCTGGATGCCGTCCTTGCCAACATTCGCTCTCCCGTCTTCAACCATTCCCTGTACCGCACGTTCGTGCCAGCCATGACAGCCATCCACGGCCCACCCATCATGTATGTACAGCTGGGACTAGGCCTCATGGTGGGCAGTGGGCCCAAGGCAACATGTAGCCATGTGGTCACTATGCACCCCCTCCCCTCCAGAGCCCCAGTGATGTGTACCCGGAAGCGCAAGCTTGAGGAGGATGAACGGCAGAGCATCCCCAATGTGCTCCAGGGGGAGGTGGCCAGGTTAGACCCCAAGTTCCTGGTGAGCTTGGACCCTTCTCACTGCAGTAACAATGGCACCGTCCACCTGATCTGCAAGCTGGGTGAGTGTCCTGGCAGGGCAGGAGGTGGCTTGGGAGAGCAAGCAAGTTCTACACTGCAGCCCCAGGGCTCTGCCACTCATGCTAGAAGCCAAGTGCCCAGCTTTTCAAAGCATGGGTACTTGCAGCCTGCCCCTGCCCTCACACAGCCTACCAAACTACCCACGCAGCCCCAGCACCTGCTCGCTGCCACAGATGTGAGTCTACCTGCTAAAGGCCTGGAGTAGCCTTGGGCAGTACCCGTGGGCTCCCATCTACACAGGGCATTCCTTCACCTGCAGCGCATCTCTGAGGAACCCTGCAGGAGTAGAGAGCTTGTTTAAGAGCAGGACTGTGAGGCAGGCAGGTTAGAGGAGCAGGAGTGTATAGGTCTTGGGCCAGGTCACAGGTGTAACCTTGTGTGTTGCAGACGACAAGGATCTTCCAAGTGTGCCGCCTCTGGAGCTCAGCGTGCCTGCCGACTACCCTGCCCAGAGCCCACTGTGGATCGACCGGCAGTGGCAGTATGGTGGGTGAGCCAAGAGAAGACATCTGGGGGCCTGGGCAGCCAGGGCTTCCTAAGCTCAACAGCAGAGACACCTGTGCCCCTCCTACCTCCTCACCAGGCAGCTGGAGAGAAAAGAGCCTCTGCCCTGCATTTGTGTCCTTTGCCCTCTGTCCTGCAACTCCAGGCAGCAGTTGAGTGGGGGAGGGGTGAGCAAGCCGGCCTCTCTAGGACAGACGCAGCTGCTCCTGGTGGCCACCACTGGGAGCTTGGGCTCATTCCCATCTACCTGCACGATATGGCTCCAGAGGAGAGCTCTTTTGGTGGGGACAGTCCTAGTGAGGTTCACAGCAGGGCCAGGGTGAGTTCCCAAGGGTGTCAAGGAAGGAAAGCTTAGGGGTCCAGATCCAGTTCAAATTCTAGTTCTTCACCAAGGGTGTGACTCTGGGAAGGGAACCCGACTGCAGGCTCCTTCCAACCAGGAGACTGATAAGGTGCTTGTCAGAGGCCAGGTTTGGGGCCACTGCCTTGCTGAGGGCTTGGCGCTCACTGCCCACTGCTTTCTTGGTAGATGCCAACCCCTTCCTTCAGTCGGTGCACCGTGGCATGACTTCCAGACTGCTGCAGCTCCCTGACAAGCACTCGGTCACAGCCCTGCTGAACACCTGGGCACAGAGCATCCACCAGGCCTGCCTGTCAGCCGCCTAGCTGGGAACTGTGAGGACCACCAGCAGCCTTGTGGGGCTGTGGACCCCGCCTCGCATTGGACGTTTCTAGGTGTTGGCTTCCTTAGAGAGCCTGGGGTTAAGTTAGCTTTCCTGCTTTTATCTTCTGCCTTGGGGACCTACCAGACATTTCCCCATACTTGTGCAGTATGGGCCAGGTGGCTGTGGACCTGCCTGTACAGGAGAGAAGGTTCTCTCTGAAACTTCCTCCACTTTGCTCTGGCTGTGCTCCTTGCAGCTCTCTAGGCCCCATGTCCACTCAGCAGCATGAGGGAGAACTCAGGGTCTTGTCCGAGCATCCTGTGTGTCAGAATAAATTGTACTAGTTTCCTAGGAGAACATGGAGGACATAGGAAACCCTTATAACATGCAACTCTCTGGCCAGTGTTGGGTTCAGGCTGTTCACTTGTGACATGTGGGATACATCGTAGGGATGCTCCTTGATCCAGGGCACAGCTCCAGTTTGGAAGGAAGGACCTCCTACTCAGCATTGTGGGGGAGTGGGAACATTTGGGGACCTGTTCCTGGCACCTACAGTGGGTGCTGCTTCTCTGCTGTGAGGGTGAGGAGTGACTGGCCAGGCACTGATGTTGAGACCAGGCATCCTCTGAACAGCCTGTTTTGTGCCACCCTCGGAGAGTGTGCTTCTTTCAGGATGGCCTCCGTGGGTCACTTGCCACACAGGGCAACAGCCAGCAGCCCTCTGGTGAAGAGAAGTTCCCCTTTTTATATGTGCACTACTCTGTCATATGTGGTTCTTATAATAAATTTATTAATCCTGTGTGTGTCAGTCGTTTATCACTGCATCCCCTTCTCCACGACTCCCAGAGCCCATTATCCAACTGTCAGGGACACTGTCGATCTTAAAGGTGTCAGTGTCCAGTCTGGCCCAGAATGCCTGAACTTACCTCCTCTCTGTCCTTTTCCCCAGTCTGGTTCATGGTAGGAAATGCAGGTGGGGTAGGCACAAGTTGACCACCTCAAGGTGACAGTTTGCAGCTGCTATTCAGGTGATGGGAGGAGTGCATGTTATCTGGAGGGGACTTTTCTCCCTTGGGTGTGGCCCTCCATACAGACGCAGCTCAGCTAGACCCCTCAGCAGCAATGTGGGATGTGTCAAGGCAGCGAAAGACAGCGTGAGGCCCTCAGGAGAGTCCTATCTGGGCAGGAAACCGGGAGTAACTATGTGCCTGGAAGGCAGCCCCTGGACCAACCAAGAAACAGCCACCTGGCCTCCACGAAGGCCATTTGTGGCAATGCAGGTGCTTCTGGGGTAGCTGCAATGAAGTAGCCTCAGCTGCCCAGGAACCTTCCAGATTAGGTAAGGGACAAATGGCCAAGAGAAGACACCTGATAGCCATGAGGAAGGAGACTCAGGACTTGTAGGAACAAGTTTTATTTTCAGTCTTCAACAAGTAGAATAATATTTTGTAATGTGCTTTTGTGTAAATGTGGAATAATAGCAAAACAATAGCAAGAAAATAGACAGTTCTTCAATTCTGAGACCAAGTATTTTATCTGTTGTGTTTCGTCCGTCTTGGAATTTGGGGTGGCTGGAAGGTGGGAGAACTCGTGTGAGATGAGTGGAAAGACGCTGCGGGGTCCCAGGCTCAGAGCACGGAGCGGTGCAGGCGCTGGCTCTGCACCACCTGCAGACGCTTCTGCCGCTCTGCGAAACTGCTCTTCAGACTCTGCTTCAGTGCGGGCAGAATGGCGCGTTCTGCCGCGGGCATTGGGCCCAGAATCAGGCTGTCGGGGAGGAGAGGGGCCTCGCTGTGACCCAGAGTCTACCCGGAGCCAACGCTGGGCTGGGAGCAGGGCCTGCTTGCTTCTACCGTGCCCAGCCAGGCCACTGCCAGCTCTGCCTCAGATCCAACTCCCAGTCCTCCCTGTGAGCACCGTGCTGCAGAGCCACCCACTCTCTGGTGTCAGAGGACTCACCACTTCTTAGAAATGCTCTTGGTAGAGACCTTGGGAAACTGCGTGGCCTCCTGGTCCCTGGGGAAGGAAGTCTGCGGTAAGTCCACATTGCCAGGCCCTGCTGGGCCAGGGTGAGGCACAGGGACCACTCACTTGGGAGATCCAGGTCCAGCCTCAGCAGCAGCCTTGGACCTCTGATGTGCCTCCAGGAGGGACTTGAGGTGCTGCAGCTAAAAGGCAGGGAGGACAGGTGTATATGGGGGGCAGGTGGGGGGGCCCTTGGAGATGCTGGGCCACCCCTACCCAGGGCCTCACCTCTTGGGCCTGCAGGAGGTTGGCATTCCACAGCTGCCGGATGATCACCTCGCACTGCTGCACCGTGGTGAGCTTGCGCAGCTGCGGAGGCAGGCCCGCCAACGGAGCCGCCCCTGTCGTTTGCCTGCCCTTGTGCTGGCTGACTCCCACCAAGGAGGCCCCTGAATTAGAAGTCTCTACGTCCTCCTCTCTGAAACATCATTTTAGCACCCCAGAGGTGCTCTGCAGTTTGGTTTTGCCACCTACCCAACACCCTCCCCAGGAGAGCCAGGATGGGCAGGTGAGGGGACTGCTCCCTTCTGCAGTCCAGGATGCTCTGGGACCGGCTGTGACCTGGGACTGTTTTCTCCCTTCCCACTGAGGGGCAGATGTGGTCGGGGGACCAGCTAGCTGGCACCCCACTCCTGGTCTGCAGGTTGCATTACCCACAGCACATGCTCTGCAGCTTCGTGGAGGCCCAAGAAACTTGGGGGTCACCAGGGTCTTCTCTGTCCTGTTGGCCCCTGCCTCCCTGAAGCCAGTGGCCAGTGGCAGCAGGCCCATGCCTAGCTCCATTCAGGACCAGCAACCCAAGTCACTGTGTACTTGGTAAAAACCAAACTAATAAGGCCAAATAACTTTTCGTTTCTTGTCTCTGAGAAGGTAGTTTAGGGACTGCCACTGGTCGTCTTGTGGGCTCCGGTCAGCACAGGGTTCCTGCAGGACCCCCAGGGAAGGGGGAGCAAGGCAGTGCCCACCAGACAGCAGCTGGCAGCTGCTTCTACAAGCCTACATTCACTTTGGAGTCAGGCCCCTGAAGGCAGCAAAGTGGTGCGCTGGTCCCAGGGCGGGAACCTATGACGTGCAAGCATGGGTCCTGGGATGCAGGTCTGGCCCTTACTTGGCCTGCGTCTGTGCCCCAAGGACTCTGTCCAGCTTATTGTGAAACAGGGCGCTACTGAGGGGATGCTCTTCCGTGTTCGTCTTCTGTGCAGTATCGGCTTTTGACTCTCGCTTCTTGAAGGAGCCAGGCTGGGGCTTGATCTTGATTTTAGAGTTGGCTGCAGAGCAGACCCATCAGGGTCAGCCACTGAAGGCTTCAAGAGACACAGCCACAGCCCAAGAAGCCCCTCCCCCTGCCTCACTTTCCCACTCTGCAAAGAGGACATGGAAACAGTGCAGCCCTTAGACGGCTGCTGGGAGGGTGCCTGCCAAATGCTCCAAAACAGTCGCAGTAGTGGAAGCTGGCTCCCACTGTGCGTAGAGGGAAACTGAGTGAAGGCCCAGGACCCTGCCCACACACTTCTATTCGCCCAGGCCCACTGGCCACTGGCTGACAGAGTAGCAGAAGAGGCCCTGTGCTGCCCCTGCTCTGCAAAGGTCAAGGCCAGGGTTCCACTGGCAGGGCCATTCTGCCTCCATTTTCCATTTGTCTGCTTGGGGAACACAGGCAGAACAGGGCTTCTTCTTTTTTTCTTTTTTTTTGGTGAGAACAGGGTTTGCAAGCATGAAAGCGCTCTGCCACTTGAGCCACACCTCCAGTCCATTTTGCTCTGGTTATTTTGGAATGGAGTCTCTCAAACTATTTCCCTGGGTTGGCCTCAAACCATGATCTTCCCAATCTCAGCCTCCCAAGTAGCCAGGATTGCAGGCTTCAGACACCTGCTTGAGAAGGACTTCTGCTGGGCTGGGAGCACACATCCTCTCCCAGGAAGGGCTCAGTAGGTACTTGGAGACCCCTCTGTCAGCCCAACTTCTCACTGCTGTGCCCCAAGAGGACCTGCTGTGCCACCGTTCTGCTCCACAATGACACCTGGCCCTATTCTGCTCAAGTCTGCTCTATCCACCTCAGCCGATCCCCTCTTGGTGCCATCAGGGGCCACCCTCCCTGGCTCCCTTTAGCTGCCCATGTGCCCCCAAATCCACAGGATTGTCCCCAAGGTCTGCCCAACAGAGGGCCCACTATGAGCTTGCAGCTTCCTGGTCAGCACCCCACCCTGGTCCCCCAGCAGGGCACTCCGAGCACACAGCAGGTGCCATCCCACTCACCCGACACTGTAGAATTGGAGATGGACTTGCTGGACTGAAAGCTTGATGTGGAGATGCTGCCTGCAGAAGGCACAGGGCTCAGTCAAAGATGGTAGCAATTTTCACCCAAGAGAGTCCACTTGTGCCTGCCTCCTGGCCTGGAGTATACATGCAGGGGCCTCCCCAAATCTGGCAAGGCTGCGTGCTCCCTGCTCTGTCTACACTACCATTTCCTGATGGGCCCTCGGGAATGTAGGGGAGCTGAAGACCAAAGGAGAACGAGGTCCTGCCTCAAGGCCTCCAGATCCTGCAGAGGTGGGGCCACTAACTTGGTTACTTATTGCCACAACAGATCACGGGGGCTTCTGTCCCATGCTGGAGAAAAGCCCTCCCACCACCCTATTCTCTGTGTCTTCAGGGAGAGCGCTGGTTTGGGTAGACCAGATTGGGGTGTTCCCACCTGGCACTATCGCCAGTCAGACCACCTGATGTCCCAAAGCAGTAAGCCCAAGAACTCAACCAAGAGGGGCGCTGGTTGCTCACTCCCATAATCCTAGCTACTCAGGAGGCAGAGATCAGGAGGATCTTGGTTCAAAACCAGCCCAGGCAAATAGTTCATGAGACCTTATCTCAAAAAAACCCATCACAAAAAAGGGCTGGTGGAGGGGCTGAAGGTGTAGGCCCTGAGGCCAAACCCCAGTACTGCAAAAAAAGTAAAACAAAATAGAAAGAACTCAACCAGGGCATCCTTGGGCCGGGCTGAGGAGCAAGCAAGGACAGAAGACCACCATGGGGATGAGGAAGTGCCTTAGACAAGTCTCTGTTTCCTTGCCCCAGTCTCCACGGTTGCTATGGAGATGGCAGGAAGGGTTCCCCCTAGGGACTCTGCCCAGGATGGGGAGCCTAGGGCTGGCCATAGCAGCAAGCAAATGAGAACCCACCAAGGTGTGAGGCCCAGGAGGCCTGGCTGGAACTGCTCTAGGGCCCCTTCCCATTTCAGGAGCTCTGCTCAGGTGAGAAAGGGTCCCCCACAATGTCCCAATTGCCCAGACCTCACGCTCTGAGAGCATATTACAGCCATAGCTGAGGGCAGTCCCCTCTGAAATGCAGAGGCCGGGGCAGCCAGGTGGGCACGAGGTCTGGAAGGGCCGCTGTGTGTGGTAACTTCCCATCCGGCGCCCGGGTTCTTCAGGCCTACCTTTCTTCTGCGGCTCCTGATTCATTATTAACTTGTAGTGGAGATCTGAAAGCAAGCACATGCTCTCCTTGTCACTTTCGAAGTGATAACTGCTCAGGGCAGAAGCTTAGCCCACTCCTAAACGTTTAGCCCAGCCAGTTCCCAGCTCATGACCACGGCTGACTAAAACCTGCCAAGTTTCTCCACCAATTCCTTCCCTTGCGCATCCTAGGTCAGAAATGCCTCTGGCTGTTGCCTGTCATCCCCCAACCTCATCCCTAATGTCCGTAGTGTGCCCACTCTGCCAGGCCAGGTTGGAACTTCAGAGGGACAAGGATGACGCAGGATGACAGCCCTCGAGGAGCCCCTGGCCATGAGTGAGCAATGCACTGATCAAGAAGAAATGCCTGACAGGAGGCGTGAGGAGCCAAGCCCAGTGGCTCCAGTCCGTACCCCAACTCCTTGCGAGAGGGAGAGTGGGAGGATGGAGGTTTGAGGCCAACCCAGACAAAAAGTGATGCTCCATCCCAACCAATGGCTGTATGCCTGTCATCCTGGCTATGCAGGGAAGCACAAATAGGATCATGATCTAGGTTGATCAGGGCATAAAGTGACACTGTATCTCAAAGAAATAACAGAAGAAAACAGGGATGGGGGCGTTGACTCAAGTGGTAGACTGCCTGCCTAGGAGCGCACGTCTGAGTTCAGGCATGTGGAAAGGGGCCCTGACATCCCCAGCGAGCAATCCTTGGTACTCCGGGTAAAGACAGCAGCAGAAAGGGAGAGGAAGAAACTGAGGGTTGCAGGTCCAGGGGTTGGGCAAAGCAGCTCTGGTTAAAGTTCAAGATCGAGGGAGGAGCAGACTCACATCACAGAGGCCTGAAGCACAAGAGGATCCATGAGGGGTGCAAGTTAGGAAGGTCCTGCCTTCCCTGTGGTGGGCACAGGGCACCTGTGCCCTGTCTGCGGCCTGGGTGTGTTGGTGACAATTCACTGAGCTGTACACTCACAGTTTCCTGGGTCTGTTAACTTCTGTAACTTCACAGTGAGGTGGCCTGCCCCTGTCCTGGGAGCAGCATGCTGCTGGGGAAGCCATCTGGACAAAGTGATGACTCTGGGAAAGGGGACTAGCCGGGTGGGCAGGCCCCAGCGAGGGGATGCGACCCCACGTCCTCCACACCCCAAGCCCGTTCTAGAGTGTGTGCGCTGAGGGCTTCCGGCTGCAGGCTCGGGAGGGTTCAGGGCACCGGGGAGCCCGGCGACAGCCAGACTCACCCTTGTTTTCCCGCTTCAGGTGTTCGATCTCCTCGTGGAGCTTTACCAGAGTCTCCGAGTGCTGCTGCTGCAGGAACTGCAGGCTCTTCTCGAGGTCTAGGACCCGCTTCTGCGCCTCGCTGAGCCCGAGCTGCGCGGGTGGCGTCCCCCGTGCTGCAGGCCCGCGGGGACTCGCTGGCGTGGGCGCGACGTGCCCCGGGAGCCCGGGGTCGCCGAGCTGATGGGACGCGCCCCGCTCATGCCGTTTGCTGCCGCCTCCGCAGCCACCACAGCACGCCCACTCACTGGCCGGGGCTGACCCGGCTTGGTGCCGCGTCGCCATGGGAACGGGAGCGCCCCCGAGGGGGCGTGGCGTACGACGGGGGCGGGGCCTGTGCCACGTTGTGCCACGTTCTGTCCCAGCGATGACACCAGACTTAAAAAGCACCGCACGTGCTTTTTTAAGGCTTGAACGTGTCTGAGGACCATCCGCTCGGGCTTCATTTTGTTCGTTGTGTTTTAATAGCTCACTTCTTGGATAGGAGATACGGTTGCAGGTTCAAAAATCGACTTCCATTTCCAGGAATCGCAGAATCTTTGTTCATTACGAAATGTGGGTAAGATAGGTAGAAAAAGAGATGTGAAGTACCGACAGGGACAAAACGCAGAAGGGGAAGGAGTTCTTGAAAGAGGAGCTGCTTTTGCCCGTGCTAGGCTCTCTGGTCAGCTAGCCCTTAACCATAAAGCGGAGGATGGTTTGGTGACTGCAGCTGAAAAGCAGAAGGATCCAGGGAGATGCTGGGAAGTTTGGAGCCACAGCAAGCTAAGGAGTCTGAAGCAATAAATTCCACTCAGATCTTTGGCCCTGAACTCACAAGTGTGTGTAACTAGGATTCCCAGGAGGCCAGGAGAAGATATAAGCAGCAGTTGGCAAAGCGCGTGCCCCCTGCTAGACTGATAGGTCCCTATCACCCAGGGGAGCTGCTGCTCTCCTGAAGGATCAGCACAAGTTGCAGGAAGCTGCGGGTGAATGAGTGACACAAAGATGAAAGTGGTGAGTGGAAGAAACTGTGCTGTGCTTGACCCACAGCTTATTTGATCTGGACCAGTTACTGAAAGGCCTTCTCTCTCTAAGGTGCCAGCTCAGCTGGATGGGGTTGTGCATGCATATAGTCCCCAACACTAGGTAGGGAGGCTGACGCAGGAGGTTTGCTTGAGTCCAGGAGTTTAAGGCAGCTTAAGCTACAAAACAAACAAGACCCTCATCTGAAAGCAAAAAAAAAAAAAAAAAGTGCCAAGCCGGATATGGTGATTCATGCCTGTGACCCTAGCACTGGGGAGGCTGAGGCAGAAGGGTGACCAGTTTGAAGCCAGGACTATATGGCAAGACCCTGTCTTAAAAAAACAAAAGTACCATCTCTGCTTTGTGGCTTTCTTCAGAACTCCTAAGGGAGCAGTCTCGCATGAATATTAAAGTCAAAATTAATACCTGTAAAATGGCTGAAGTTGGAATTCTTAGTAGGAACAGGAGAGGCTGGTTGGGAAATCATTTGTTCTATTTTGGTCCCTTCCCACTTAGGAAAATTGTGCCTTCTAAGAATTCTGGCTTCCAGAGCCAAAGCTAGCTGAACTTTTAAGTGATGGCTACATTAAAAGTCATGTCTTACAGACTGTGAGGTCTAGCTCAGGAGCAAAGTGCTTTCCTAGTATGTGCAAAGGCCCTGGATTCAATTCCCAGCACATCAAAAAGGAGCCATCTCTCAATATTGGTAAGTCAGGGCTGGTCATTCAGAGGCTCTGACCTGGGGCTGGTCAGTGCAGTTCAGTTTTAACTATTCATGACTCTTGGAACCTCTGGGAGCCAAAGAAGAGGCAAAATTTGTTCCAAGTGGTCAGCTTTTCCTATCAAGGGCAGTTCTGATTTGTTGAAGAGAAGGTAAAATTCCCACAGCCCTGCCCCAACACAGGGCCTACCTTCTACAGAATTAACATGTCTTGGTTTTGTCTCTGCTGTACACGAATTTACAACACTCTGGCAGAGAAACAAGGAGGGTAGCCAGATGAATGGGCTACTGCTGCTGGGGAAAGGGGGTGCCATTTTGCCCAGAAGGTGTTTCTGCAGTTCCCAAGTGCCCAGGGACCCTGTCTGGGTGAACTTGCTAGAGACTGAACTGACTCAAGCAAGAATGGGTTTATTCCAATCCATGGTCAATTATAAGTTTTGAATTGACTTTTGGCCAGGCCCTAAAATGTATTCTGAGATTACATCAAAATAAGAAGCCTAACATTTACAACTTGAAAAAACTTTTAACCCCACCCCCACCACTTCATTAAAAAATCACCATGGAGATGCTGTTGTTGCTGGTGATTCATCTGCAGAGTGAATGAAGGGGAGACCCATGGTGGTTTATGACAGAGAACATGTGGTTGTCATATACTATGAATATGTCAGTGTTATCAAAAAGTGACTGTGTCTGTTATTCAAAGGTAATTATTTTTTGAGTGCTTGATTTTATTGAAGGTATAAATGACGCTTCTGACCATCTTTGGTTATAGACAGAAGATGGCAGGATCTGTCTTCGTGGATCCCTTAGTAGCCATACCTGCTGAAGACCAGTATGCCACGATTCTGCAAGGGCATACGTGACGGCTTGAGGGCCTGAGGTAACACTGTCCTATCACACCTGTGCTCTGAGGTCTTCCTGGAACTCAAAAGTGGAATTCTACACCCCAGCCTCCAACTAGCCTGGAGAACAGAGACCGATCCTTGCTTTACCAAACGTTATGGCAAAATCTAGCTTTAAAGTTGTGAATCAGGCGAACCATTATTTGTTTTTTTCAGGTATCTTTCAGAAACTTTGATTCTTTACTGGAGTGGATGCTGAGTGTCCTGGTATTTTAGAGGAAGAGGAAATGTCATTTCCAGAGGGGAGAGGTTAAGGCTGGGTCAGCTCCCCAGAGGACAATGGTTACAAAGTCCTAAAGAAGTAGCTCTGCTGCTTGTGGGGTCTTGGGCTGATGGAGGGAGGGGCCTCTGGTCAGCTCTGCTTATCAGATGGCTCATGAATCCTCTGACACCATCCTTTCCATGCCAAGCCTGGACCACTCTTCCTCTTCATTTCAGTTTCTTGTGGGTCACTCCACTATTGCAGGAAAACACTCCCAAGAACCCCAAAGATGATGCTGCTCTGGCTTGGAAATAGCCTGCCAGAGTCTCTCAGGTCCAGGGAAGGGAGTAGGAAGCAAATTCCACCAGTCTGCGCTGAAGACAGTGGCTGAATGTTACAGCTGGTGCAGCTTCCCCCGCTCAGTGAGCAGTGTCATGGCCATGGCATAGAGGAGGTAGACCAGGATGAGGAGCACGGAGCAGGGCAGGGGCCCAATGCGGAACAGAGAGGCCACAAAGAAGGCCAGCAGGAGTGAGAGCAGCGTCCGGTAGCTGCCCAGGAAGCGCAGGCTGAGCCTGGGGCCCCGGGCATGGCTAGCCTGCCTCCGCCCCACGGGGCTTAGCAGATGTCTGTTGGCCAGAGCAGGCTCAGTGAGGTGATAGCGACAGAAGCTGCCAAGGAAGTCATCCCGGGAACACAGAGCTACCATCTGGCCTGCAAACTGAAGCACAGACAATCAGGTGTGGTGTGGTGTGGTGTGTTACGTGTGTGCGTGTGTCCCAGGCCTGTAGGATCACATGGGGTGTGAAGGACAGGGAGCCATCTGGAGCAGGAGCATCCTGTGGAACCCACTTTAAGAAGCAGCCAGGCTGCTCCTGCCACTCGCTTACTCTGTGATTAATGGCAGATGACAGCCGGAAGAGCACGCGGACCAGACTGGCAATCTCGTAGCTGCGGATGGGCTGTAGCTCTGAATCCCCCTGATACTCGATTTCAAACCTTCGAAGCCCATTGATGATCTAGAAAAGTCAGGGAGTGGAAACAGTTCAAAAATTCATCTTTGCAAACAACCCAGAAGAGCTGTCTGTTTATTAGGGCAAAAGGGGAGTTGAGGACAAGTCATGTGACCAGCAGATACCCCCCCAGGTGACGTGGGCCTTTTACCTGGTAGCGGCCCAGAGGCGTGAGAATAAGTCCATCCTCCCCCACAATGCAGTCTGGGAGCTGCTTCTTCCCATTCTCATCCTGTGTGTTTCCTAGGGCGAGTGTGAGCTGGGCAAGCTGGGATTCGCTGAGCTGTTAGAGAAACATTTCTGCTTTCCACTTCAGGGTAAAGGGAGGGGACTGGTCTTTTCTTTGGTGGGACTGGGATTTGAACCAAGTGTTTCACATTTGCAAAGCAGGTACTCTACTACTTGAGTCACACCTCCAATCTATTTTACTCTGGTTATTTTGGAGATGGGGTCTCATGAACTATTTGCCTGGGCTGGTCTTGAACCTTGATCCTTTCAATCTCAGCCTCCCAAATAGGACTCTAGGCGAGAGTCATTGTGCCCGGTGGGGACAGTCTTCATCCCACCAGCCTCTGACAGTGGCAATGAAAGGACCTGGACATGACAACGTAGGTGCAGTCCTGTCTCCTCTGGGATAGGAGCCACACTGGCCCGCCCATGTGTTTAGGCGAGCCCTGGGACTACATGGGGCTAGTAGAAGAGTGACTCCCTCAGGGAAGGGGGCTGAGGGGCTGCCAGACAAATCCCACAGCTCATACTCGGAATATCTGGCGCAGGTATTCCAGGGCCTTCTCCAGATACTCATCTGTCTTGCGGACGCTGTCCTGGCCCATTTCATCGAGGTCATTGGCTGGATAGCAGCCATTTGGATCTGTGGGGCAGAAGCCCAACCATGACCATGACAAGAAAGAGCGGCCAGAAGGGCTCTCCACACACTGGTCAGAGATGGACTTGGCGGTCTGCTTGGCCTGTGTGATGAGCTGAGCTAGGCGCAAGACCTGCAAGGGAGGCATAGGCAGATCACATAACTGGAGGGCAACTCACAGGACAGGTATGCACTGCCACCCGGGAAGGGTGGCCACAAGGAGCCAATTCCAAGAGGGGTATACACCAGACAAGCAAGAGACCCTGAGGGGCATCATAAGTCTTACGGATAATCTTCTAAATGTGAAAAATTTCCCAGAAAACTGTATTATCAGAAAAAAAAAATTAGCCTTTACTGGAAAAAACAAAGAGGGGGGGGGTTGACAAAGCATCATCTACTCAACACCCAATCTCCTTCCTCTATAGGCACCTCCTTGGTTCTGCGGGTTCCCACAGGCTCAGAGAATCCACACCAGCGGGCACCTCTGACAACTCACCAGGGTCCGGACCTCAGGCCCAAACATTGGGATGTACTTGCAGTCCTGGCCCTCCAGGCTGTAGACGTGGCTCTTCACCTTGAATGAAGCATCAGTGACAGCTGGTGGCCATGGTGACAGGAAGCTGCCAGTGACTGTGGGAGCTGGGAAGAGCCGGTGCTGACGGTGGGGAATGACAAGTTCTGGCTCCAGAAATAGCTGCTCACCTGGAAGACAGGACATGAGTCTAGCACCTGATTCCCAGAGCAGTGCCTGGGTACTGAAGTGCTGGGTACCTGAGGCGCTGCCCCAGCAGCATCTCACACGTCAGTAACTGACATGTGGGTGACCAGGGCTATTCACAGGCCAGTAGCCGGCATGTGTGTAGGGCTGGTGGCCCAAGGATATAGCTCCTGATGCTGAGGGAGCACCAGCAGAATCAACAGGAAGGCAAACTCCAGGAGGAAGCAGCAGAAGCCAACACCTAACAAAGTCAAGACAAGGGCATGCTAGGGACCAAGAAGATCACTGAAATCACCCCATTAGTCAGCACAGAAAAACAGTTCCAAAGGAGCCACAGCTTGTGGCTTTGCTGCCTATCTCTTTGGAAGCTTCCAGCTGGAACCCCCATGTTCTGTGCTGCAACCACAGGGAAGGTAGAGTTTAGCCAGGTTCTAAGGCTTCATCACACTGATGTGACCCAAAGTCCCTAGACCACTTGTATCAAGCCACCTTGCAAGCCCATGAGGCACATAGGGTCCCTAGAACCCTAAGTGCTGATTCCCACCAGCTAAGGGTCTGGCCCAATTGGGTCAGAATAGGGCCTGCCTGGCTGGTCCAGGACTGAGGACTTACCTTTCTGGATCATTTCTGCCAAGTTGGGCTGGGCAAATACTTTAGCCACTCGGAACACCATAAGCGCATTTTTAGGGCTGACCAGATCTGTGCGAAGTGCCCGGTTCAGGAAGCCCACAAACAGCTTGGTGTACATCAGCAGGTTCTCCTGGACGAAGGGTGCCCTGGGGACCAGGATGGCTGGTCAGGGACCAGCCTGGCCAGGACACTGGGCCAGTCCTCCTGCTGGAAGCAGGAGCCACACTAGTCCTCACCCCTAAAGTCTTTGTTCTTCCCTGGACTTCTAGACTCTCCCTGGCCAAAGGCATCACAAATGGGAGGTGGGGGGGAGATGGAGGGAGAGAGGCCAGGAGCTATAGGGAGGACAGCAGGGCAGAGGCAAGCAACACCTAGGTCTTCTGAGGACAATGGATCCTCAAGGATAAGGCCTGTTCCAAGAGGACCATAGTGAAGTTGGCCCAGAATCCGACAGAGTGGAGGAAGAAACAGCAGGGGAGTACGAAGGGGAAGGCTTTGGTCCAGGGGAGGAGAGACCACTGGCGACACCAGGTGACAAGGGAGGCCTGGAGGGTTGGCTAAGTGTGAAGAATGAGAGAGAGATGGTAGGGAGGTAGCTGCTGCTCTGTGCTAGTGGGGACGGTTGGAAGGAGAGTTTAGTGATGACCGTGAACATCCACTGAAGTCAGGGCAGGGAAATCCATTCCAGGACCCAACAAAGTTCAGTTCAGGAAAGGCCAGTTATATGCCCACTCTACAGGGCCTGGGAGAAGAGCCCAGGAGGCCACAAGGTACAGGAATAGGCCAACAGAAGCACAGGCTCCTAGCTTGGCATCCACCCACTGAAGCAGCTTCTGCTGAAAGAAGCCAGTGTAGTGGCTTATAGGAGAGGGTGCTGGGGCTCACCATTTCTCCGACACGCACCGGGGCTGGGAATCACTGCTCTGAGCCTGCTTCTCAGGTGCATATCTCCATGGCTGCAGGTAGCTCAGCCACATCTCCAGGACCTGGTAAAGGAAATGTGTGCCCTGAAGGTGTGGGGGCTGGTGGCTCTGGACTTTGAGCCACATCCTTTGGGAATCCACAGTCTGGCTCTTTGGAGGCGACTCAGGAGGGAAGGTCTGTCCCTCAGTTGTAGAGTTGGGGCTCTGCCTCTGGCTCTTTTCGAACTAAGCACAGATGCTGAAGAGTGATCCACTACTCCACATCCTCCCAGGAGACTGTGGGAGGTAGTCAAGTATCCTTTCACCAGTCCCTGCCAGGAGTTAGGCTTCTGAACACTGCCCGGTAAAAGAGAGCTGGGCCGGGAAAGGCTCTTCGGCATCTGAGGGCCAACATGTCCCAAGGCCTCCTCTCCCAGGCCTCAGTGAAAACAGCTACTCCCCTCCTGTCTACCAGCACCATAGCAACCTCCTTACCAGGGCAGAGAACAGCAAAGGCCAGGCTAGCACTTACAGCTCTGAAGGATGCATCCAGGGGCCAGTGGCCGAAACAGTGCTGCAGGAACACGTACAGCTTCTGCTGGACAAACCGTGGTACAGCAGCCCTGCTAGGACAGGAAGGTCAGTGGTTGCTGCTTGCATGGGGTGGGAGGGCCTGCTCACACAGGCCCTGGACACTCCCTAGACATAAGACCTGTTTCTAGCCCCATTTGTCAGGAATGGGGGAAACCAAAGTTCAGAGAGGTAAGGAACATCCCAAGGACAAAAGTATGTAGGTAGTGAAGCCAATGTGATTCCTCCACATGCCTCACCTCAGTCCCCCACAAGTCACCTCCTCTGTTGACCCTAGTTAGTCTGTAGGGTGAGTGTCAGGCAATGGTCCCAGCCCTCTCTCAGACAGAAGAAATAAGGGAATGCCATCAGCACAGAGTTGCCACTTTGCCCCCACTGGGTAGGAAGTGATGACAGCACAGCAAGATGGGGTCTCTCTGGCCAGCCTGCTCTTCCTCCTGAACAGGACAAGTCTATAGGGAAGGCACTGGAAGGCACAGCTAGCTGCCTTTGGAGCTGAGACTCAAGCTAAGTAGGGGAGGAGACAGGCCTACCAGGACTCAGGAATTCCCCACCTGCCCAACCCTGTGGAGATCTCAGGTGCTCTTTGAACAAGAATGACTGTCCCTCATCCCACCTCCATACCCCAGGAAGGTCAAAGTGGGCACTGATAAAAGGAAAGAAGCCCACCCGCCCCACACCTACCCTCACCCTACACCCACCGTTTGAACTCCTCCAGGGGGCTGGTGGCATGGGAATGGGCAGAGGGTGAGGTCTGCTCTGGCTTCAGGCTGTTGGCAAAAGCATGCAAATGCTTCAACAGCAGGCGAACCACTAGCACATGTTCCTCCGTGGGTGCAAATGACTCCTAAGGCAGAGATGGAGGGCGTCAAAGTCTCAGGAGGTCTGTGGTGCCCAGTGGCAAGCCCCAGGTCTGAACACATCCTGCCCCAAGCTGGTTGCTTTGCTCCTCACAGAGGGCATGGGCCAGGCCAAGAGTGAGACCACGCCTCCCTCCCCAGGGCCCCCCAGGGCCTGGCATTCAGTGAACATGCTTCATGCTGCTGGATCTGAACTGAAGCTGATCACAGTACTGGAGCGCTTGGCCCAATGCTTGTATAGCCAGTCCTGGGGAAGGCTGACTAAACAATCCTGCAAAGTGCTTTTTCGGTGCAGCTCACCCTGAGAACACATGACCACGCACTCTGGGGCCCTGCTGCCTGTGCCGAGCCTCCGGGGTCCCCACCTCCTGGCCCGTCAGAGGGCAAGAATAGGGGAAGGCCAATAGCCCACCCTAGGAGTGTGTGCAAAAAGTTCACTAGGGCTCACCTTGCAGAAGTGGGAGCGTCTCCTTTCTCCCCAATTCCTTCTCCGGTCACAACCCCAATCCCTCCCACCTGTTCCCCAACCTGGTCACAGACAAATGGGGGCTCAGTCCCAGAGAAGCCCAAAGCACCACTCTTCTGCTGTGGTCAGCTAGAATTCCCAGGACAACAGTGCCCTCATGCTGTGAGCTGAACTGGATGAGCAACACAAATGTGGGATCTTTGAAGCCAAGGCCAGAGAGGAAGCCTTTTTGTCAGGTATACGTCTTCTCTGGTCATTTAGCATCTGAGGTAAGCACCTTGGAAATGGACTGTGGGGGCTGGGAGTGGGGTTGGCACCTGAAGGCAGGACCTTGAGTCCAGTCAGACATACTCCTATCCCCACACTCATCCCTCATCCCTTTGGGCCTCAACACACTTGTGATGCTGGTAAGTCTGGCAAAGGGCCTGACCTCCTTGTGCACCCCAGGGTGCAGCAGACTACGATTAATCCACTCAGACCTCCCTGCTATGAAAATGTCCTGCACCTAGGTGACACACCTCACTGACTGAACCCGAGGCGGGAACTACATGTGAGAGAGCATTTTCTTCTACTTATCTACAATTTTTCTGGGGGAAATGATACTGTAATTTTTCTGGGGGAAATGGCAGGCATTCTACTACTTGAACTACTCCACCAAACCTTTTTTATGTTGGGTATTTTAGAGACAGGATCTCGTAAACTATTTGCCCAGGCTGGTCTCAAACCTCGCTCCTCCTGATCTCTGCTTTCCAAATAGCTAGGATTACAGGCGTGAGTTACCAGTACCCAGGTGGAATTTTCAAGTCTTCGTACAATGCATTTACATTGTACATGAAGAAAAAAAAGGATGAAATACAATGACATGCTTTGTCCCCTGTGAAACTTTCTATTATATTAAGCTGGGAAGCCAGGACGTGAGCAGGCCTCTGCCCCGTGGATTAGCCTAATCATGGGATTAACAAGTTATCTTGAGAATGGGTTTACTATAAAAGCCATGTGGCGCTGGTGTCTCACACATGTAATCCTAGCTTCTCAGGAGGATTGCGGTTCCAAGCCAGTCCTGGGAAAATAGCTCATGAGACTTTATCTCAAAAATACCCAATACAAAATAGGGCTGGTGGAGTGGCTCGAGTGGTAGAGTGCCTGCCTAGCAAGCATGAGGCCCTGAGTTCAAACCCCAGTACCGCCTCCCACCCTGCAAAAAAAAAACCCATATGGCTAAGTTTGTTTATATAATTAATTAGTATTTGTGGTGCTGAGGATGGAACCACCAATGAGCTACGTCCCCAGCTCTTGTTTTTGAGTTTAAGGCTGGCCTTAAACTCTGGATCCTTTCACCTCCACCTCCTCAGTGCTGGCTAGCTAGTTCTCGAGTAATCCCTGCTTTCTGCCATGTGTTGCCTTAGGACTCTGCCAGCAACCAGGCTATCCATCAATGTAGTGCCTCAACATTGGACCAGAGCTATAAGCCCAAATAAACCTCTCTTTTTTATAACTTACTAGCTGATGTATTGTGTTTTAATGATGGAAAATAGACTAAGACATATAACAATGACTACTACTACTAATTAGCACTAAAAGACTAGAAGCACATCAATGCCAAGTTGGTACCCCAACTCGAGCAGCCTTCCCCTTCTCTATTGCCTCATTCTTGGCCCTTGGCCTAAGAGTCCAGCTTGTCACACTGACTCTTAGCTCTGGGAAGAAACAGTGCTGGTCTCCTACCCTTCCCTTCATTGCCTGGCCGATCTCATCCAGCCTTCTGTGGAGACTCTGGAAGGCCAGGCTCTAGCCAACTATCACCAGCAGTAACTTAGCAACCTTTCAGCCTTCTTTCTTGCTAGGTTTGCCAAGTGGAACTTCTCTTACAACTTCCCACTCTTTCTTGCCCCAAATTCCCATGCAGAAACTAGGGCTACAGTTGCACATGGCCTCTGCCACCTATTCACTTTCTCTTCTTCTTTTTGTGAAGCTTGGGATCAAACCCAGGCCTCATGTTAGGCAAACACTCTACAACTGAGCTACATCCCCAGTCTGCAACTTTCTAAGGGCATATCCTCAAAGCCTGCAGCATTACTCACTAGACACAGCCTCTCCAGAGCTCACTCTCACACCTCTCCTGCTGTGGAGGTGAATGGAGCCAGATGTCTTCCTAGGGACCCTGCTCAGGGTTCAGTCCTGCCGTAGGGCCTCTTCCTCCTCACTAGCTACTGCTTCTAAGCAGGAGCCCAATAGTTACCATTCTATGCCACCAACACTGCTAGCCCATCCACGTTTTAAATTGAAATTTAAGGATGTGAGGGCGATCTGGCTGCGACATCTGTCACCCCATTGATCGCCAGGGTTGATTCGGCTGATCTGGCTGGCTAGGCGGGTGTCCCCTTCCTCCCTCACCGCTCCATGTGTGGTCCCTCCTGAAGCTGCGCGCTCGGTCGAAGAGGACGACCATCCCTGATAGAGGAGGACCGTTCTTCGGTCAAGGGTATACGAGTAGCTGCGCTCCCCTGCTAGAACCTCCAAACAAGCTCTCATAAATTGAAATTTAAGTTCAATTGTGTGCTCTTTTTCCCAGGGTGAACTAGACAGAGCCCTGGCTGGAAGCACAGCTTCACATTTCCACTATTTCTCACAGGCAGTAACTCCACTGCTCCTGAAATATCACAGGGGTCTGAGCTCTGCTTCACTGACCTCAAATCTACCCATACATTTCTCACTTTTGATCAAGCAGACCACATTCTCCACGAGGTCACTGCCTGCTCTCGAATGAGTCTGGTTGGGGCTCTAGGGATGACAGCTTTATGGACTCTTGGGGAGCCCTGAGTGCTTCCCTCCCCTCTGCCCTACACAGACTTGGGGTTGGCTGCAGTCTCTAGGCTAGGTAATGGCTCTGAACAGGGCAGAAGACATACCACCCATAAGTCCCTAGACCTCTGAATCCTTAGTCACTTCCTGAGTACCTACATAGTGAAGGTGAGCTGGGTCACCACAAAGCTTCTCCAACACCTGAGAACTTGAGGCACTTCTGCTGTCTAGGGGCTCAACCAGGCAGATTCTGTGACCCCCATGGCCAGTCAGGGCCATGCACCTCTCAGTCACATGGCCACATACCCCAAAATCAGGCTAATCTGAAAAGCTGGGGCCCAGGCCAGGCTGACACTGGTCCCTGCTTCCCCAACAAATGGGCTTTGTCTACTCAGAACTAGCCTCTCAGACACCTGTAGCAGGCCCCACCAGACCCTCACTCTGCCACTGCGCCGACATGCACTCTGTGCTCCCACTGCAGGGCAGGGGAGGGAGGGAAGAGAGCGGCCAGTACTTGGTAGGCGTGGAGGGCCTGGAGGCTGGGTTGGGCAGGGCTGTGGAGGGCGCTGGAAACACTGAGTCGGTAGTGCAGAACCTCCAACTGAGAGACAACACACAGAGAGAAGCCAGGGAGAGGCAAGAGGGTGGAGGATAAGACAGGGTGGGGAGGGGAAAAGAAGGGATGGGATAGGACAGGGGAATGGGGAAGTGGGGAGAGAAAGAAAACAGTGAGGAGCCCAGAAGAAAGGACAAAGGAGAAAAAACAAAAAAACAAAAACAAAACAAAATCACATCAGTGACAATCCAACAACCACTGCCCCAGCAACCTCAGGCCAGCAGAGCACCACCCCTCTCAGCAATAGACCAAGGCCTCCAGGTGCAGGCAACCCACTACTAGGCTATGCTGGGCACCCTCTTATGGGCTGAAAGACAGATGGCCCTTAAGATCACCAGGGAGGACTGAAGGGTTCACAAGCTCTTAGGTTGGCCCAATACTGTCCTTACAAAAGGGTCCCGCTCTCCCACCAACCCTTAGACACATTATATATGATAGTGTACACCACAGATGTTCAGAGCCCAGGACCCTCATGGAAGCTGGCCACTAAGGCCTGGAACACCTCAAGGCTCAGAAAAGAAGCTTTCAAGGAATCAGTTCCAAAAGAAGGACTCTGTCCAGAAAAGAAAAATATGCACAATCATCAGCCCTCCCTATACATGGGTTCCACATCCATGGATTTGACCAACCTGATTAAAAATATTAAAAAAAAAAATTTGTGTATCTGTCCTGAAAGTGTGCAGACTAATTTTCGTATCTTTAATCATTATTTCCAAAACAAAACCATATGACAACTATTTACATAATATTTAAATTGGATTAGGTTATAAGTAATCTAGAAATGATTTAAATCATATGGGAGAATGTGCATAGGTCATATGCAAATACTCCCTGTGTTATATAAGGGAGCAGAGGATCCATGGATTTTTATATCCTGGGGGGAGGGTCCTGCAACCAGTTCTCCAGAGATAGTGACAACTAATTTATTGGACTTTCATGGGTTGTCTTTAGAAGAAATTTACCAAATTGGTAGGTAGGTACCAGTACAATCATTTCTTATGTATCTAAAACCTAATGCATGTCTCTTTCACAAATGGCTTGCTCAGAACTGAGAGGATTGGGTGGGTTCCCAAGGGCAGCACAGAACCAAGCACAAGCTCAGTTCATTAGACCACCCTCTGTTCCCACACCCCACATGAAATTGCTAAAGGTAGTGGTGCTCATTGGTTCAAACTAGGAAGACAGCCTCTCCTACCTCACTAGGACCCCTGCCCCCTCCCCACAGGGCTCCCAAGAGAAGGAGCCCACAACAACCTAGTCACAGCCACATACCCGAGGCAGCAGAAACCTTCAGGCTGGGAAAGTCCAGAACAACAGGGGTGATAGCTCAGCTGGCATGCTGTTGGACACCCCCACCCTGACTCCACCTCCTCAAAGCTCCTTGGACTACTGAAGCACCCCTTCAGCCAAGCATAGTTCAGAATGCCTGGCGCACATCCTGCCCCATGAAGGCTATGTCTCTTGCCCAAGCAGCACGCCTGCCAGGTTTCAGAAGGAGAGGTCAGAATGCACTAAGGAGACTCTCGGGGAGGGGGAGACTTTCTGTGAGGGGCAAAGGCCTCTCACAGCGTTCCTCTGTGCTAGACCCCAGGTTCAGCTACAGAGCTCAGAGAGAAGTTGGGAGCAGTTTCCCAGACAAGACCCTGCCCCTTCCTGTGGGAACATGGCAATGCTGCCCCCCAGTCACTGGTCAGTGAGCATGAGCCCTGGACCCAGGTCCAATCATACAGGTGGACCTCAAGTGCTGCATTTTCTGCATCTGGAAATCAAGGCTAGGTGGGGACAAGCAAAGATTTCTCTAAGGTAGGTACAGGGCAGGCTCTGGTAACAGTTAGGGGCCTTTGATGATGGGAACTCTCACAGCCATCTTTCCGGGCTCCCACTCAGGTTTCTTAGGTTTTGTTTTCAGCCTCCATAAAGGAAGCAAGGGCAGAAGCTCATTACGCACCCTGTCCTCCCACTGCCATTCACTTAAGCATGTCTCATTCGCCCCAAGGTCTGGCTAAGAGGAAGCAATTATGGGAATTAAAGGGAAGGTACCTCCCTCCCTGAGCAGACAGTCCATTGACCCTTTCCCCTGGCCTTTGAAAACAGAATTCTCACAAATGACAGCCCAGATAGGCCTTTCTTGTTGGCCATTGAATGTGGTATGGGCTTCCACTCCCTTGGAAGACAGCAAGAGCAGCCAGGAAGACAATGCATTAAAGCAGCCCTGTCTCTGCTTGGCCAAGCCACATGCCAAGGCTGAGTGAACTTCCCGGGGCCCCAGGGCAGATGCCAGGCTCTGGGAACCAACCTGGGGAAGCCCAGCTGGCAGGCTAGCATGTGCCAGCCAGAAGCATGCAGCAAGTCTGCGCTGGAAGCAGGAATGACACTGTAGGATCTTTGTAATTCAAGAGGTCCAGGAGGAATCTTCAGCCTTTCCCAGTTCCCCAACTCCAGCATGAGTCCAAGGATGGTGATTTGGGGTGCCCTGTACTTTGAGAGAGCAGTGGTGGGGCCAAACCTCCTTCTCCACACAGCAGAGCACTGGGATGACAAATCTCTGCTCAATCTGAGGCAAACTGGAGGATGGCCTTTTTAAACTGAACTTCATAACCCACAGGCTCTGTTCTCTGGGAAACCTTCAAGGATTTTGTCTGGCAGTGTGAAAATCAAAGTCTACAGAGCAATCTGATGCACAGAAGCTGTAGAATGTAGTTGACACTGCCTTGGGCAGGGACCTGGGTGAGTATGATTCAAGCTGTTTCACAGTATATGACTCTAAGCACCCACACCACTCACTAACAGAACAGAACTGTTCTTCCCTCATGAGCCCAGTGGTGTGTCTACCCCAGGAACAACAACATCGGGAGATTCTAGGGACTCTGCTACCTCCACGCCTCTGCAAGAGCGTGTGCTACCAAGGGAGAAAAGGAGGGGAAAGGCTGAAGAAGAGGAAGAAGGGGAGGAAAAGCAAGAGGAGGAGCATGAAGCGAAAGCAGGCCAGGCCACATGCATGAGGGTACCACCCACCTACATAAAATGGTGCTTGCTGATGCTCTGGAGGAGGTAAGAGCAGTATGGGCAGACAAAGGAGGTGTGTTTATCATGGCAGGCAGGGGTCTGCCTACAGCCACCTGAGAGCACGAAGGCACTAGTAATGGCAGCAGGGAAACTGGGATGACTCCCAAAGGCACCCACAGCTTCCCCTGCCCCAGAGCAAGAGCACCAGAACATCAGTCATTCCTACCGCCAGAGAGGGGGCTCTGGACACTACACAGGAAGGACACCAGAAAGGACAGACCACCAGGGCTCCGGAGCCCACCACTTGGGGTACTAGCCCTCCATAAAGTGGAGAACAAGACCCACCTATGTTCAGCATCTGTGTGAGGGGTGGATGGGGGGCTTCTACTTCCATGATCTACAGCTAACTCACACTGAGAACAAGAAACAGCAGGTTGGCCAGGTTCAGAGGCAGCAGACAGGAAAAAACTGTAAAAACATACCTTGGCATGAGGGGACTGCATTTTTTGGTACATCTCCAAGGAATAATGATGAAGCCACATTTCAACAAAAACCTGCAAAAGAGCATTAGCTGGTCTAATTGTTCAACAATGGTGCTACAACCATTTGATGAGGAAGGGAGTTGTTCCAACAAATGATGTTGAGACAACTGGATATTCACATGCCAAAGAAAAGCTGAACCTTATCCCAGGCCATACACAAAAATTAACTCAAAATGCTACAGCAACCTAAAAATAAGAGCTAAAGCCAGTCTAGAAGAAAACACGTGGGGGAAACTTCATGATATTGGCTTTGGCAATGATTTCGTCTTGCATAAGCAGCAAAAGGAAAAAAAAAAAAGACAATCAAAATCAAAATTTTTGTGCATCAAAAGCAATTATTAAGTTGGGTGCCAGTGGCTCATGCCCGCAAGCCTAGCTACTTGGCAGGATGAGAACAGGAGGATCACAGTTCGAAGTCAGCCTAGGCACATACTTTATGAGACCCTATCTCCAAAATACCCAGAGTAAAATGTACTAGAGGTGTGGCTCAAGCAGTTAAGTTCAAACTACAGTCCCACAAAAAAAAGCCACTAAATAGAGAAAAAAGGCAATCCATGGAATGGGAGAAAGTATTTGCAAACCACATATCCAGTAAGGGATTTATATCTAGAATAGGTATGAACAGAGAATTTGAAAACTCAACCAAAAAAACAGTCTGATTAAAAACGTGCAGAAGGACGGGGAGGTGTGGTGCCTGCTTTGCAAACATGAAGCCCTGAGTTCAAACCCCAGACCCACAAAAAAAAAAAGTGAAAAATGTACAAATGTCTTAACTAGATATTGCTTCAAATAAGATATACAAATGGCCAAAAATACATGGAAAGATGCTCAACATCACTATTAGGGAAATGCAAATAAAAACAATGAGACACCATTTCACACTCACTGGGTGAGCTATTATCAAAAAAGCAAGCTGGGTGCTGGTGGCTCATGCCTGTAATCCTAGCTATTCAGGAGGTAGAGATCAGGAGGATCGAGGGTCGAAGTCAGCCCAAATAGTTCCATGAGACCCTATCTTGAAAAAACCCTTCACAAAAAAGGGCTGGCAGAGTGGCTCAAGGTGTAGGCCCTGAGTTAAAGCCCCAATACAGCGAAAAAAAAAAAAAAGAGAAGAAAATAGCAGGTGATACTGAAGAGGACAACTGAAAACCTTGTGATCTGCTGGCAGGAATATAAGATGATGCAAAAATTGTGGAAAACAGTGTGGTGGGGCCTCAAAAAAATTAAAAAGAATTACCATGTGAGTAAGCCAGGCATGGTAGCTCAGGCCTATAATTTCAACTACTTTGGAGTTGGAGTTTCAGAGGATAACAATGTGAGGCCAGGCAGGGTAAAAAGTTAGGCAGACCCCCATCACGCCTGTTACCCCAGCTTTGTGGGAGGTATAAATAGGAGAATCATTATCCAGGCTGGCCCAGGCAAAAACACAAGACCCTATTTAAAAAATAACTAAAGCAAAAAGGACTGAAGGTGTGGCTCAAATGGTAGAGGGCCTGCCTAGCCATAGTAAGCACAAGGCCCTAAGTTCAAAACCTAGTACCGCCAAAAGATGATTCAGCAATGCCCTTTCTGGGTATATATCCAACGTATCTGAAAGCAAGGTTTTGAGATAGTTATATATTCACATTCACAGCAGTCTAATATTCACAGTAGCTAAAAAGTGGAAGCAATCCAGGTGTCCACTGACAGATGAATGAATAAACAGAATATGGTATATCCATACAACAGAATATTACTTGGCCTTAAAATGGAAGGAATTTTTTTTCCCTTTTGAGATAGGGTCTTGCTATGTAGTCCAGACTAGCCTGGAACTTGCTATATAGTGCAGGCTGGCCTTGAACTCATCATACTCCTGCCTCAGCCCTGCAAGTGCTGGGATTATAGGGATGCACCACCACACCCAGCAAAAGGAAGGAAATTCTGACACATGCTACAGCATGGATGAACCCTGAGGACTTTATGCTAAGTGAACCAAGTCAGTCACAAAAAGATAAATACTGCATGATCTCGATAAATTTTCTAGGGATGAGGTACCCAGAATAGTCAAATTCACAGAAACAGAAAGCAGAAAAGTAGTTCTTGAGGGCTAGGAAAACAGGGAAATGGAGAGTTTCATGGTTGCAGTTTCAGTTTTTAAAGATAAAAGACTGTGTTTCAAAAAAGAAAAAAGAAACAAAAAAAGGTTTCGACATTTTAGTTTAGTTTAGTTTTTGTTGTACTGGGGTTTGAACATAAGGCCTTGGGCCTATTAGGTAGGCACACCACCATTTCAGCCATACCCCCAGGCCAAAACTTATGTTCTATACATTTCACCACAATTTAATTTTATTTACCTACTTACTTATTTGCAGTATGGGGATTGAACCCAGGGCTTCATGCATGCTAGGCAAGTGACCTACCACTTGAACCACACCCACTAAAAGTTTCCATTTAAAAAAAAAAAAGGTACGGCAGCTCATGCCTGTAATCCTAGCTACTCAGGAGGCAGAGATCAAGTTCGAGGACAGCTGGGGCAAAAGGTTCTCAAGCCCTGTCTCCCGACCCCAATAAAAGATGAGTGTGGTGGTGTGTACCTGTCACCCCAACTACACAGGAAGCAAATAGGAGGATCGAGGTCCAGACTGGGCATAAACACAAGATCCTACTCAAAAAAAGAGAAGTAAAAAGGGGCTGGGAACATAGTTCAAGAGGCAGAGTGCTTGGCTAGCAAGCACAAGGCCCTGAGTTCAAACCCAGTGCCACTCCCCCAACCCCCCAAAAAACCCCAGCAATAGTATTCTGGTCCAGGAAACAGAATCTTCCAACCTACCCTATAAGCCTATGCCTTTGTCATCTATCCTCCTCATGGCCAGCGCAGCCTAGAGCCCATGTCAGTGTGAGCCACCTACACCATCACAGTCTCCTCTGGTAACAGCAATGATGTTCTTACCATTTCAACCTTCAATCTGCTGGGTTGCTGTGAAGATGGCCAGGTGACCACTGAAAGTGCAGCACCCCACACATCAGTTACGCACAAGGTAGGAGACTGAACCCCATCCTGTCTATGTTCTAGGCTGTCAACAGCAACACTGTGGCTACCAGTCAGCCCCAGAATCTAGCACTGGAACAAGCTGATTCTCTCCAGACCCTGGCAAGTGGCCAATGCCAGTGCTCATGCTCAGGGAGTGAGCCAGCCCAAGCCTATATGAGGCTGGAGCCCATGAGGACAAACAAGAGACCATTTGCAGCTCCTGACACAGGGTCCTTTCTGACCATTCAGCAACATACAAACATACAAATGCTTCTGCAGCAGGATTTAATAACCACAGAAAGTAATCATAGGGAAATATCTCTTAACAACATGGAAGAGGGTCAGAGGGGGACAGGGTGGGGTAGGGAAGGCATTTACATAGATCCACTGGAAACTAAAAGACTGAAATGATTATATCCCCATGAAACAAACAAACAAACAAAATTCCTGTTAACAGGGGAGGGTGGGACAGAAAACACCATCCTTGACATATAGGTTAGAAGAGTAGACAGATTTCTTCTCATTTGTTTTCTAAATGTCATGACAAGAAAATACCAACATCCATTCTTAGGCTGACAGGATGTTTTTGGGACTCTGCCCCACATGGTGGAAGGTGGCTGAGCAGTTTGTTTTAAAACTGAAGCAGAGACCAGATTCCTTCATTCTCACCTGAAGGAGAGTTTCCGACCTCCAGATTTCATGGGAGGCGGGGTCTGCGTTCACAGATGTCTGATGAGAGATGTGTCGCTTCAGGAGGCTAGTGTGATGAAGACCATAAGAGGCAAATGGCATGGCTGGTGTCCTGACAGGAGACATGGAAACAGGCTTGAGTTAGGGACTACTGTTGGCCAGGCCATGGGCAATCTGAGCATTAAAATTAATGATGGGAGTAATAATTACATGTCAAATCACAAAATGAACCCTAGGTCCATAGTGAAATACTTGAAAAAATAATCAGAGAAAAGTCTGCACCATAAAGTGCCCACTTAATTAATGTAGGAGAGATGAAATTAGAAAACTGCACTTGGGAGCTGCCTATTTAGGTAGGGCACAGTAGCTCATGTCTGTAATTTCAGCTACTTGGGAGATGGAGACAGGAGAATCACGGTCGGAGGCTGACCCTCAGCAAAAGTAAGGTCCTGTCTGGAAAATACCTAAAGCAAAAAAGGGCTAGGCATGGCTCAAGCAGTAACTGTTTTCCTAGGAAGTGTGAGGCTCTGAGTTCAAACCCCACAACACCAATTTTTTTTTAAATTTAGGTGAGAATCAATAATGTATACTAATATGAGTGATTATTAAGTAGTCTTGACATATTTTCCCACTAAATCCTCAGTATTAATTTAGGTACAGAGCACAAACTTTACAGTGGAAAAACTTAGCTAACAAACTTGAGCCCAGTGATCAGGTTCATGTCACCAGTAATGGGCCACGGGGACAATATGGGCCCTCTGACTGCATACTTGGGAAGGACCCAATGTCAACACTGCAGTGCTTGCTTCTACCTACAAAGCCTAAGCTGGGCTTAGTCACGAGTAAACACACAGAGTTCAAGTAAAGGAGTGTCTACACACATGGCGCCTGCATGCCTTAGAGGAGTCAAGGTAGGGAAGACAAAAAAACTGAGGGTCTATTTTAGATTGAAGAACACTAGAGACACCGCTGCATGCAGTGAGCAAGTCTGTACCAGACCCTAGCCAAGACAACAGACATGAGTGAGGTACCTGGTGGCGAACCCCAAACAGGGTCTAAGGATTAGGTGGTGGCCTTGTAGCAGTATAAGCTTCCTGATATGGACAGAAGTACTGTGGTCACAATGGCTTCAAGGAAATATACTACAGTGCTACAAGGTCTTAGTGAGCCAGGTGTAGTGGTGCAGGACTACAATCTTAGCACTCAGGAGGCCAAAGCAAGAGGATCTTGAGTTTGCTGGGACAGCAAACTTATTTAAACAGCCCAGAAAGTGAACAAACTAACTAACCACATACTGTACAGATAAATGGAAGGAGAACAAAAGAGACATGGCAAAGTGTCAACAAGTAGGAAATTGGGTGAAAGTTATGGCTGGCAACTTTTCTCTAAGTCTGATGTTATTTCAAAATGAAAAGTTAAAGCAAGCTAACAAACCAGGCCACGAAAACCACTTAATAGGAGAATTCTGCTTTGGAGAGGGCATGAATTCATCCCATCTCCAAGTCCTCCTTTTCAGGCGTATCACCAAGGCATCAGAGCCACCAGTCACTGATGTCACCTAGGCAGCCCCTCCTCCTTCCCAGGTCCACGTGAGTTTGAGGTAAAGGCATGGCTTGGTATGCACACTTCAGCAGACTTGGCTGCGCCAGCATCTGTAAAGCCTGTATGCAGCCTCCCGGGCAGGAGCTGGGCCAGAGAAGCCAGGGAGGAGCAGAGAAACTCAAACAGCTGCTCCTCAGGCAGGAGAGAAAACTGGGGAGAGTGGGCCAAGAGACCTTGGGCTAAAGGCCCACCAAGGCTTCAGAGCAACCCAGCTAGAGAGCCCCCAATTCTCCCTCAAGCTGAGGCTACTGCACACCACTTCAGCTGTGCAGCCAAGCATCAGGCTCAGCTTATGTGGCTTGGCACAAATGGCTCTTCATCGCAGGATCTCCCATCAGCCCACAAAGATTCCTACTATTTTTGTCCACAAGCCAACTCTTCCACCCTACTCACTGTCTCAGTGGGGCTTAGACACAACCTGTGGAGAGCACTACTACAAGCACAACACAAGCCCATTCCCACACCAGAGCAAGGCCTCATTTATGAAGCCAGAAACCCAACAGTCTCAGTGATGGCAACAGATCACCAAAAACTAAAACACAACACATCCTCCAGTCTGTGCTAGGACAGGTAGGGCTGGGAAATGAGGCATAAGAGAAACTGGGGGACTATATACAAAGAGTGGGATCATTGTCTGTGAAGATGGAAATAACACCGAGCAAGCCATTCCCTTGTAGAAGGATCAAGTCTTAATAACCACAGCAGTCTTACCTGGGAGCTGGTGAGGGGCTGGCTCCCCCTGGACTGGAGGAGAATGGTGGGGGCACACTGCCTTCGGTGGGCAGGAACCATGACAAGTACCTGTCCACCAGGATGAAATACGCACAGTCTGAAGTACGGACATGGAAGGACACAGGCAGTGGCTGGAAAACCAAACCTATCATTAGTGTGGGCTCTGGGTATTGCCTTGGCCTCCTCTGAGCACCTGCAACCACATGGATACATCAGGCCAACCCCCAGCCCTTCACAGTGGGACACTGTACAGCAAGCTGCACTCAGAGGGTATCCCTTCTGTACCTTTTGAGTGATGAGGCTCAAGGCAAAGAAGAATATGTAATACTCGAATGGATCTGATGGCAGTGTCAAGGGGCAAATGCAGAGATGGTGGAACACCCTTCAAGGTGTGTTGAGCCACTGAAAACCTCCCCACCCTTAGGGTGCCAAAGGATACTAAGGGCTAGGTTTAGGCCAAGGCCCCCACTGGGGGGAAACTGGACTTTGTTGTGGTACAAAGGGCTGTCAGGGAGCACACGCTCTTGGATAGATGCCTTCACAGGGCCCTGCAGAGAGAAGGAAATAGGGTTGTGGGCAGGCACTAGCATGATGACCCCCAGGGAGCACAGACCTTTGGGAAGGCTGCTGAGGAAGTCTGTCACCTCATTCTGAGGAGGTTACTCTCTGGTAGAGACTCACAGGACTCCTGGTGCAGCAGTGAAGAACAGCTTTGGGTTCTTCCACTGGGTAGAAGCATTACCACTTTCTATCTGGGCCAGTTAAATAAGTAAGACTTTTATTAAATCCTTTTTGGGGGGATAGGGGTGTAGCTCAATGGTAGCACTCTTGCTTACATCCACAAAGTCCTGGGTTCGATCTCTAGCACCACAAAAAACAAAACAGAATCTGCCTGTGGGAACCGAGTCCCTCTCTGGGCAGTACTTGGGCAAAAGGGGCTTTGTTCAGAATTTTTCTTATCATCCACATAAAAACCTGCAAGTAGCAAAGGTGACAGCTGGGTTTATTTTTGAGTCCCATCTCCTTTGCTTCTCATACCCACTGAGCAAGTCACTACTCAATTAGCCGTGACTGGAGACTCAGAAGAACAAAGCATCTGCACTCAGCAAGGAGCAAATCAGGCAGCATGGTGCCTTCTCCACTGGCAGAGTTTGGAATGATCTTTTAAAAAAAGTCACCACTGAGGGCTGTAGCTGTAGCTCAGGAGTAGAGCTGTTGCCTGGCACGTGCAAGGCCCTGGGTTTGATCCCCAGCACTGGCCCCCTGCCAAAAAAAAAAAAAACAAAACTACTGGAAGTTCTAATTTGTGATGCCTCTTGGGCCCTGAACAAACATTTTCCTGCACACTGTCACCACTCCTCCAAGTCCTTGCCTTGCTCACTACAACAGCTGCTATTCTGGACCCTCTGATCCAAGTGCCACTCTTACCACCATGGCTTACTTACAGGGAGGTAGGAAACAGGAAAGTCAAATTTATAGTCTTCAGCTTGAAGTTTATACACTAACTTCATCATTGGGCCACTGAACATAAAAAGAAAAAGAAAAACAGGGCAAATGAATTGCAAACTTTCTTACTTCAATTATTTCTTAACTTTAAGAAATAAAGTGGTCTGGTGGGTTGAGAGGGAGAGATGATGGGGGCAATGTAAATAATGTACAATGTAAGTCTAATCAGAATTGTCACTGCAACCCCCCCCCCCCGTATAATGAATATATCCTAACAAAAAAAAAGAAAGTGATCTAAAAATGGAATCACTATGAGGAAGTACTCAGCCCCTACAAGCAACAAACCTACCTACCCTGGGTCTAGAAATTCCATTGCGATGCCATACTCCACAGGATTCACACGCCCCTGTAGGCAGCGGAGGTTCCAGCCAACGAGAACACCATCCAGGCTGCCGAAGATACTCTCTACCAACCATGGGAAGATGGTGTGCAGCTCCTAAAATAGGATGCAGTGAGGCTGGGGGTATGCTCAACGAAGACCAGTACACACTCCCGATCTAGCTCTAGTTCTACATCATACACTGCCTACCTTCCTCTGGAGGTCACTCTCTGGAACAGCAGTGATTAACTTCCACAGGGTTCCATGATATACCAAACAATACCACTTTATATTTGGGTCAGTTAGATAAGCCAACATTGGATTAAAGATTTTCTTTTAGGAACTGGAGGTATACTCAGTGTTAGAGCACTTGCCTAGCATGTAAAAAGCCCTGGGTTAGATCCCCATCACCACAAACAACAACAAAAACTTCTGACTTGAAGAGATCTATTAAATAGGAGAGCAATGTTCTTTTTAAGTCAAGTCTCTGAAACATACCTATAAGCGACTGTCATCTGGAATCAACTTCCCCAGGCCAGCTCCCTGTGCTTGATAATTCCAGGTGTGAATTAAATACATATTTTCAAGTATTTATATCAGAGTTTCTCAACCTCAGAACAACTGACATTTTGGGTCATATAGTTTTTGTTGCAGGGGGCTGTCCTTGAAGGGTATTTCTGGCATTCTTGGACTCTACCTACTACAGATGCGTAAGAATTATAAGAGATGCCCCAAAGAGAGATGTTGGCAAAGCTGTACCTTTGCTGGAAAATCCTCAATGACTTTTACCAAGTCTTGGCAGCGCTGTGCAAAGGGCTTATTTATAGAGTCAGCTTTGAGGCTAGCCTAGAAGACAAAGCAAAAAAATCATGAACACATTTGCTCTGCAACTATTGTGGATATTACATTTTAATCAAAAGAGAAACCTAAGCCACCCAAATACACACTCACTGGCCTTGTTCCTTAGCAGTTCATACATCAGGTTCTACATGTGCCAGTGGTCCAACGTTGCAATTTTACCCCTCCAGACCAGTAGTTCTAAGGGGCACCTTCCTCAGGTATTCATTACCAGAGTGTTGTGTACTATCAAAATAAAACTGATTTCCACCAATTCATAAGCAGGAGTTCAATGTTAGGGTCAGCCCCCCAGCTAGGAGAGGACCTCTTCTTGTAGTACTTATTCAATCCATGAGTACTCATGAATTTATACACAAGTTAGAAACTTCCCACTTCACCAATCACCCATATTACACCACTGCAATCGTCAGCAAAAGTGCCCAACAAAATGAGGGTTACAGGAGAAGGCTTTTCTTTCTTAATCATAAATAAGAAACCTACCGCATTCATTGCCCTAAAAAATAAGGTGACTGGTCTAGAGGTGTGGCTCAAGTGGTAGAGTGGCTGCTTAGCAAGTGCACTGCCTGAGTTTGAACCCCAGTCCCATTAAATAAATAAATGGCAACCTAAAACTACAGATGGCCTCAGTCAAGTAAATATTAATTATAAAGGCAAGGGAGAGGTCAACATTCAGGACACTAATGCGGGAAAACACCCTGACTCCATGGAGAATTGGTCTCTGTGCAAATGGGCTAAAATCAGGAGGAATTTCAATAGGCGAGTTTTGCACAAGGATATCTAACACTTGTCTACCTTCAAATGAGGGTGGGTTGCACAAGGCCTAAGTCAGAGATAGAGACCTGGCTGTTCAGACCATGGGTCAGGGCTGTTGGCTCCAGGAGTGCCAGGAAAAACGTCCTTCTAAATAAATGTTTACAAAAAGCATCTCTGGGAACTGAAATTAGGAACATTCATCACCCGTATCTGCTTCATACTCAACTTCTCCAGCATCATGTTTAATATTTAAAATGCAATCCTAGCTGTCCCCAGCACAGCAGTGTCTATCTATTCTTCACTGATGACATATTATATTATGTACCATATCATATATACTATATTACATGCTTCACACATGCATAAGGCTTGTAGGTCATGAACATTCTGATGTATATCCTTTTCATTCTCCATCCTCTGGAAAGTAGGAAAAACAGCCTTTGAATCAACTCATTCTATAGATGAGAAAACTAGAGATCAGAGGTTGAATAAACCCTAGGTCCTACCTAATAAGAAGGCAGAGTCAAGCTTAAGCATTCTTATTTATTTACTTATTGGTGGTACTGGGGTTTGAACTCAAGGCTTCATGCTTTCTAGGCACTCTACCACTTGAGCCATTCTGCCAGCCCTTTTTTTGTGTTGGGTGTTTTTGAAACAGGGTCTCGCGAACTATTTGCCTGAGCTGGCCTCAAACCACAATCCTCCTGATCTCTGCCTCCTGGGTAGCTAGGATTATAGGCATGAGCCAGCAATGCCTAGCTAGCATTCTAATCTTGAGTACAGTGTTATTTCCACTACATGCCTTAAAAAAAAAACAAGCACCAGAAAGTTCTCCAAATCAATGGAAAGAACTCTTTAAGTCCCTCAACTATAGAACTATCATCACTCTGACACTCCCAAAGGCAGCAGATATCTACCAGTAGGAAGCTGGGCTGCTGCAAGTGTGGAAACGCCATAGCAGCCTCCCGTGGACAGTCGATAATGTTCGCTTTAGGAAACCACTGTGGGAAAACAAAGAGAAAATCTCAGTATCTGCCACACAATATTATGCAGTTTTACAAGAGGAAGAACACTTGTGTAACTCAACACACACTATACCGTGTCCAGTTCCTGTTTCACAGAATGCCATTCTCACACAATTGACAACTGCCAGTTTCAGAACCAAGTCTGTGGTGGTGAATCCTTGTACAGCACTTCATAGATGCCAGGACTGGTTCTGAGAGCTTTCCATACATTTCCCCATCGAATTTTCAGTTACAGGCAGAATTCTAAAGCTAGCTCCCCAACATTCTAATCTCTTGCTTATTTAATCATTCATCTAGGTACTGTGGTAAGAGAATTTTGCAGATGCAATTACAGTCCCAAGTCAGTCTTAAGATACAGAGCAGTCCCCAGATGACAGCTCCATGACTCCAAGGAAGTGGACTCTGCCAGTAATCTGAATAAGCTTGGAAGCAGAGTCTTCCCTAGAGACTGCAGATAAGAGGAAAGCCGCCAACACCTTGGTTTTGGCCTTGTGATACCTTAGGCAGAGGACTTAGCTGAGTATGCCTGGGCTTCTGACTATGTAACTCCATGAGAACAAATGGATGCTGTTTTGGCTACTAAGTTTGTTAAGCAAGAATAGAAAATACATCTTCACGACAACCCTATGAGGTCAGTATGGATGCGGAAATAGAAGAAGAAAAAAGCTAAATCACTTACACTACTCAGCTAGTAAACAGCAGAGCTAAGATTCAAACAAACTGACCTCCTCACAAATCTCTCACAGACCAGTGGGTAAAGCATATTAACTGTGCTCTATGCAAGGAATGAAAGCAGGGGAAGAGCAAGCTCTACCAAGGGAGCCTTTGAACTTGCATCAGAAAATTAGAAACAGGACCGGCATGGCAGTTCACGTCATAATTCCAGCTACTCAGTAGGCAGAAATCCAGATCTTGGTTCGACACCAGCCCAGGCAAAAAGTTAACAAGAACCACATCTCAACTAGTAAGTTGGGCATGATAACACACACCTGTCATCCCAGCTACATGGGAGGTATAAATTGAATGGTGGTCCTGGTCAGTCTGGGCAAAAACTCAAGACCCTCATCGAAAAATAAGTGAAGCCAAAAGGGCTGAGTACGTGGCTTAAGTAGTAGAGCACTTACTTAACAAGTATGAGGCCCTGAATTCAAGTCCCAACACCAAGAAAGAAAAAGAAAGAAAGAAAGAAAGAAAGGAAGGAAGGAAGGAAGGGAAGGAAGGAAGAAAGAAAGAAAAGAAAAGATAATTAGGAACAGCTCTCCAGATTTCTACCTTTCTGCCTACCCTGGTCAGAAACAGAAAATATCCAGAGTTGGACTGAGGAGAGAGGAAGCCTATAGAGTTCCAGTGATAGGTTAGTGGCAGCTTCTTGGCACAGCTCTGCCCACCACAGGAGTGAAGGAGTGAAGGTGGCAGGTGGCAGTCTGTGTGGTGAGAGAGAAGCTAGGTGTAAGGAGTTGTAAACAATTAGGGTGTGAAGAGGAGAAGAGAATCTTTGCCATTTGAAGGGACTATTTCCCAGTTCTTTTTTTTCTTTTTATTAGAACATATTAATTGTACAAAGTGAGGGGTTTCATTCTGGTATTTTCATATATGCATATAATATGCTTCCATCATATTCACCCTATTACTCTTGTCTTCCTCCCATTAACTCTTCCCCTTTTAAACTTTCTTGCAAATTTTTAAAAGGGTTTCATTATGAACATTTTATACATGCACACAATGTACGGCCCTCCTCACCCTTTCTTTTCCCCCTCCTCCCTCCCACTTGTCCCTGCCATAATAGCATCCTGTATGTCCATGTCTTTTTTTTTTTTTTAAGATCTAGACTTTGCATAGGAGAAAATATGGCATTTGTCTTTCCGAGTCTGGCTTATTTTGCTTAAAATGATAATCGCCAGTTCCATTCATTTTCCTGCAAATGACACAATTTCTTCTTTATGGCTGAAATAATACTCCAAAGTGTATATATACATTTTCTTTATACATTCACCTGTTGATGGCCACCTAGGCTGATTCTATAACTTGGCTACTGTAAATAGCGCTGCAATAAACATGAGTGTCCAAGTATCTCTATTGTATGCCGACTTACACTCATTCAGATATAGTCCAAGAGCGGTATAGCAAAATCACAGGGCAGTTCTATTTTTATTTTAAGGAGCCTCTATACTAATTTCTATGGTTGCCACAATAATTTACATTCCTACCCCCTCCCACGCATCCTCCCCAGGCTGACTGAGGTGAAAGAGAATCCCAAGGATACGTTGATCTGCATTTCCTTTATGGCTAATGATGCTGAATACTTCTTCATGTGTTTATTGGCCAGCTGTACTTTTGAAAAGTGTTCAACTCATTTGTTTGTTTGTTTGTTTTTGGCGGGACTGAAATTTGAAGTCAGGGCTTCACACTTGCAAAGCAGGTGCTCTACCACTTGAGCCACACCTCAGTCCATTTTGCCATGGTTATTTTGGAGATGGGGGCTCTTGAACTATTTGCCTGGGCTGGCCTCAAACTGTGATCCTCCCAATCTCATCTCAGCCTCCCAAGTATGTAGGATTACAGGCACGAGCCAGTGATGCCTGACTGCAGAAGCTTTTTAGTCTCATGCAATCTCATTTGTCAATTCTTACTTTTATCTCCTGAGCTACTGCAGTCCTATTCAAACAGTCTTCACTATACCTATATCTATCTTGAAGTGCTTTCCCTATGTTTTCCTTTAGTATATTCGATGTTTTGGGTCTTACATTTAGAGCTTTGATCCACTTTGGATTGATTTTTCTACAGGGTAAGAGATAGGGATCTAGTTTCAGTCTGCTACATGTGGATGTCCAGTTTCCCCAGTGATAAGAACTGCCCCTTCTGCAGCCTAAGCTGCATCTGGTTTCGCCCCTTGCAGAACAAAGCCCACTGTTCCTTATCTCCTGCCACCTTCCTTTGCCCGCCCCTAGACCTTGCTTCAGCAGCTGGTCTCATCCCTGGCAGATCAAAGCTCACTGTTCCTTATCTCCCATCACCTCTCTTTGTCCGTCCCTGGCCCTTGCTTTCTCCCAAATGCTACTTAAGGTCAGACCCGCCAAGAGAAGCTGCCGCGCCATTTTCTCTCGGCCAGCCAGCCTGCTTATTAAACTTCTAGACATGAGAAACCTCTCATGAGCCTCCTTTGTGTGCGATATGCAGCGTTTTCCTAACACCCAGCACCATTTGTTGAAGAGGCTGTCTTTTCTCCAATGTGTTTTTGGCACCTCTGTCAGAATGAGCTAATGGTATTAGCTGTGTGGGCTTATTTCTAGGTCCTCTATTCTATTACTCGTCTATGTGTCTCTTTTTGTGCCAATACCAAGCTGTTTTAGTTATTATGGCTCTGTGGTATAATTTGAAGTCAGGAATCATGATACCTCCAGCACTGCTCTTTTTGCTCAGGATAGCTTTAACTATTCTAGGTCTTTTGCGCTAGGCTTTTCTAATGTTTAATTTTAATTAGCTGTCAATTTCAGTGCTAAGGAAATGACCTACTTGGCCAGATCATTCCAAAATGATCCAAGCAGCATAAAACTATGGACTGTTAAGAGTAGAGCTTTAGAGGTGATGAAGTGAAAGCATCTCTTTCCTCAAAGAAAGCTTTCATAGGCAACAGCTGACAGAATAAGGCCCTGAGGCGTCAGTCTTCTGCCTTTCCAAGAAGACGGCAGAGACTTCAGCAGCCTTGCTCCCTGACCCTGTCACTGCCACGCCCCTCTGCATGTTGTGCAATGGGCCTTCACTTCATCCTGCCCCTTCAACACCCAATTTCTTCAGGGGCTGTTTCAGACCCTGTTTTGAGGTTTTTCAGATAGCGACAGTCCTCAGCCAACACCAGTCAGGCCAAGTTTTTCGCGCCACCCAAGACCTCCCTCTGGCTGCTCGCTGAGAAGCAGCAGCACGCTCCCGTTTGTTGTTCACAAATATCCCCTGGAGCGAGGTATCGAGAGTCCCCTATTACAGAGGAGGAAACTGAGGCTCGGAGGCGGAAGGGTCGAGCCAGGACCCACACCTGGCTCTTCCTCCAACACCGCTTGCTGAGCCCAAGTCTCAACTCGCAACCCTCCTTCCCTCAACTCGTCGAACGAACGTTAACCGAGCACCTATCAGCTTGGGGTATGAGAGCCGCGCGGGGAGATGGCATAGAGACATAGCCAGGGAGGGTGGCATGAAGGCGCAGCCGGGGACCTCTGTTCCCCAGCCGGCCCTGCTCGGGCAGAGTGGCTGGGGCCCTCCCCGAGCCCAGGAGCTCGCGAAGAAACGGAGACGGCCTCGGCGGCGGCTCGAGAAAACCGCTGCGACGCGGGATTGTCTCTCGCGCTGCTCTGCTCCACTTACCTGCGGGACTGCCAGCACTACCCGCCTCAGACCTGGAAGCCGCCATTCCTCCACCAGGCGCCGAAATGTCGTCATCAAGCTGCGCGCGGCGTCACGCCCCCCGGCTCGGCGGGAAATGCGCCCCTACCTCTTTGAGCAACGTGCGCAGAGTGAAGGCCGGCTCGGGTTAGGGAGGCGGTCCGCCGGCTGCGGCGCGTGCGCAGTGGCGGCATCTGCGCCCGTTACGCATGAATTGTCGCGCTTTCTCCGTAGCTTGTGCGCGTAAGCACAGGCTGTTTATTAGCGTGCTCGAGGTGTGCCCCCTAGTGGGGGAACTCTCGCAGAGTAAGCAATTACACACTATAATGAACGCCCTTCACTTACTGAGCATTTATTGTGCACTACGCTGGGTGCCGCTACCTAAGTGAACAGTTGAGCAGGGAGCAGACCTCTGCCTTCCGCTGCGTCATCGCTGCGCCTAACAAAGTAGGCGTTCAATACGCGTCTAGGGAATGACAGCGGGGAGACTGCTCTGGATCGGGAAAAGGGCTGCGGACTGCAGCCGGTAGAGGGCGCTATGGGAGAGCCTGGGCGGTTGGGGTGGGCGGGGCGTGGGCCAGGTGGGCGGGACCCAGCGCGCGCTTTCCTGACCGCTGTTCAGATGGCGGCAGCGGGCGGCGTTCCTGGGCTCGGGGTTTCCACGGGGCTGGAAACGGCGACTCTGCAGAAGCTCGCACTGCGGCGAAAGAAAGTGCTGAGTGCAGAGGAGATGGAGCTGTACGAGCTGGCGCAAGCTGCAGGCGCAGCCATGGACCCCGACGTGTTCAAGTAAGCGGGCGCGGGTGGGACCCGCAGACACTCTTGCTCCAGGCCCCTGCGGGCCCGCGCCCGCTGGTGTAGAAGAGCCTTCCTTCCACCTTTGTCGGGGTCTTCAGCGAAGTAGTCCCGGTGACCCCGCAAAAACCGGCTCTTCTGCCCCGCGGCGTGAAGAGCTCTCTGAGCACCGTATTTGTTCTCCCCCAGGATCCTGGTGGATCTGCTCAACCTGAACGTGGCCCCGATCGCCGTCTTCCAGATGCTCAAGTCCATGTGTGCCGGGCAGAGGTTGGCAAGTGATTCCCAGGACCCTGCGGCTGTGTCTTTGCCCACGTCAAACATGCCGGAGACCCGAGGTCAGGACTGGGCCCCTGTGCTTCTAGCCCCGATTGCTCTGGTGGCAGGGCACAGGTCTGGCTGGCTTGGCTCTGAATGGCTAAGGCCTGTCTGTCAGTCTCTTCCCAGGACCTGCGGGCCCATCTGTCGGATGGGGCCCTAGCTTGGCTGCCACTTTTGGGAGGGCACTTCCAGAACTTGTGGTGGCAGGGTAGTCCAAGCAGGCTAGGCTTTATCTGCCCAGCTCCTTTCCATCTTTTCACGCATCCCTTCATTGCACAAACGTGGGAATAAAGATGGCTTTGGTCCTGTCCTCCTGGCGTCACAGCCTCTAGGGAAGTACTCAGAGAAGAGGGCTGATGCACCCTTACCTGTACCGCACTCAGGTCAGGTCCTGCCCAGGTGCCAGGCCAGCAGCAGAACTGCCCTCCCTGGATTGTGAAGCTTGTAGGGCAGAGTCACCTGGCTGCCCTAGAACGCACATAAGCCTGAGGAGCAGAGCACCCCTGCGCTCAGGTTCAAAGGGCTTCCTCACTCTCTTGGTCATGATGTGGATAGGCAGATTCTGTGACCAGGCTATGTTATAAAGGAGCCTCTCCTCCCTGCTCCTATTCATCTCCTGTGTTGCTTCTGCACCCTGTGGTTGTTGGGAACCTTCTGAAATGCAGCAGACTCTCCCAAACAAAGGGAAGGAGGTCCAGGGCTAGATCCCTGCCTGGAAGCACCCACACAGGCAGGAGGACAGGCCAGGCCCTGGGGAGGACTGCCGGGGCTCTGGGAACCCTCATGTCCACACTGACCCACCCTCTGTCTGCTCTCTTTGTGTCTCTCTCTGACCTCCAGAGGCCTCCTTTCTCTCTGCCAGGAACTGTAGCCCCCCTGCAAGGCCCTCCTTTTCCTCCGCCCTGCAACCTGCAGCCTCTCCGGTTCTGCTCCACTGCCCAGCTGCCACGCACTCGCCTCTCTCTCCAGGGCCCCCTGCTTCCCTCCGGTTCTCTTGCTGCCTGTTCTCTCCTTTCGCAGGTCGCGTTTATTGGCTTATCTCTGGGGGTTGGTGCTCTCTTGTTTCCCTGGAAACAAGAAAACTTTCAGGGAAACTGGGCTGCAAGGGCAGGACCATGCAAGCCATCCCTATCATGCAGCATAAGACCAAGCCACATTTTCTGGCTCAGTTCACCCAAAAAACTGTATTTCTAGAACATGCTGTTGGGCTGGCATGCCTTGCAGGCTAACTCCGCTGGGTTAGACTTGCCTGTGTAAAGGGCCTCTTCTAGGGGGAGGATGCAAAGTCAAGGGTAAGGCAGCATGGCGTGCTGTAGGAAACACAGCTTTAGGTGTGAGAAGCACTTTGGCCTCTTAGGCACTGTCCTCTACCTGAATGGGAGATCTGGAGGAGGGGAAGATGTCCCCAGACTCCTTGGCAGCACCATAAGAGTAACATGTTCTTATTCTTTAAGTCACCCTTGTAAACTGAGTCCCCTTTCCTGTCTCATTTCTGGTACTGGAGTACCTTCCACGTGTTGCCAGGTGTGAGGCCAGGGGCCCAGAGCCAGAGAGAGAGTCTGTGGTGCCCTGGTTGCACCCTCCTCCATGTCCTCCCATGTTGCCTACCTCACGGCTCCAGGTATGGCTTGGAGCTGCAACCTGGGGAGGATGGAAAGGGCTGAGGGGCAGGGGACAGGCTACAGGCTGAAATGAAGAATTGCCAGGTTTTCAGGGGGAAGAGAAAAACTTCAAAATAGGATCCCCCTCACTTGAGGGAACATTACTCCACTCAGTGACCCCAAAACCAGGCTGGGCTTCAGGCACTGAAAGCTCAGAAGGAATGTGAGATGGACACACTTTGTGTCCAATGAGAGGGGTGACTGGATAAACCGACCGTGATGGAGATGGGAGGCTTCACAGCCTCCAGAGCAGCGAGGGCTAAGCAGATTAGGGGCTGGAAGAACCACTTGGGCAGGGTCCCAGCAGCCCGATCAGGTGGGGAGGAGGCTGAGTGAGGTTGAGGCAGAGATGCAGCATTTTGGCCAGGATTGTGTATTATGTCCCAGCCACTGGTGGGAGCCTGGCCTGACCTGGGACAGGAGGAAGAAGGAAGGATGCAGAGGTAGGAGGTATACTGGGGCAAGGCACTGGGAGCATGGGCACAGAGGGACTTGGGAGCATCAGGGGCACTGTGTAAATGAATGGGGGTCCAAGAGAGGTGGGTAGAAGCCCCAAGCCAAGGAAAGGAGCCCTTACAGAGTTGTTAACTGTCAAGGGCTCAGTGCTAGAAGCATAGCCCAGGCTCTGGTCCTGGAGGACACAGAGGCCCTGAGGAGATGCCTGGAGTGGGGGGAGAGGTATCAGAGGGCAGCCTGGGGAAGCTGGTTGATGGGGAGGAGGCAGAGGGTAGGGGTAGGGCTAGGCCAGAAGTGCTGCATGCAGCCCAGAGGCTACTAGATGAGGCACAGAGAGATCTCTGAGGCCTGCTTGTCATAGCATCCATAAATAGACCATCTGGCCACCCCATTAATGACAAAATCTGGGCTGGAGTGATACCATAGAAATCATTAGAGACAGACGGATGCAGGACAACATTTCATATGTCAACTTTTTGAATGTTTTTAGAATTCAGAACCATGGTTGAAAGGGTACCTGGAAAGTGGGGTAAGAGAGCTTCTACTTGTCCAGTAGATTGCATGTTAGTGGGAAGTTGTGCCAGGGAGCAGCTGCTGTGGAGTTTGTGACTACCACGTCAGTCTGTTGCTTGGATGCTCACTCAGCATCTGGGAACTCTGGGAGCCCTGGGTCTCTAAGGGTCATGGTTTGCCCCTGGCTGTCCCATATGACTCAGGTTTTCCTTCTATGCCCTTCCCTGCCTCATCTCCACCTATCTGGCTGGGACTAATGCCCATTTTTAACCTTACCCATCACTCATTTCAAGAGGCCTCTGGCTTCCATGCAGCCACCCAGGCAGAACATGGTGCACAAATTCAACTTGTGTATTCAGCTGATTAAACTTGACTTTATCAGAAAAAAAATTGGGTGGAGAAAATAAGGGGAGTGGTCAAAGGGATCCAGTTGTGGGGATGTAATGACCTAGTTTGACAATGGGACTTTGTGACTGTTGGGGCTAAGCAGCCATTGGTGTCCCATAGGACTTGGTGTGTGGAGTGGCTACAGGCCACTCATGGGCTTGAATCTGTAAGCTGAAGCAGGCACAATGGGACCATCTAGATTCCTGGCCTCCAGCCATCCAGGCCGTCTGTGGGGACTCACTCATGCCCAGGAGAGAAGGAGGAAGTAAGACCTCAAGTACAGAGCAGTAATACTGGTGATGACGAGGATCTACGGTCATTGAGGGAAAATTAAATTCAGTTGAGTGTTCTGTTTAAGTTTAGGGAAACCGTCCCTTCACAGCAGGTAAAGTGAGGTGTGTGTGGAAGATGTGAGTCTCACCTGAGCTATGCTGTCCCATAAGGGAGCCTCACATGGCAGCTGGTGTAGTCAAGGCACACTGTGTAAGTACACACTGGATGTTGAAGAACTAGCACAAAAATGGATACAACTGCTGGTGACTGTATGTCAGTTACGTTTTGAAATGATAATATGGTTGACATCTGGGGTGGATTGGTTCCAAGACACCCCCTCACACATAAGTACCAAAATCTACAGATGCTGTAGTCCCTTGTATAAAATGGCATACTGTTTTAACACTAGTTTAAAGTGATTTTAGATTTTTTTTTTGCATTGCTGGGGATCAGGGGCCTGGGGCATGGCTCTACCACTGAGCTATACCCCCAGCGCCTTTATCTTTTTTTTTTTTTAGAGATGGAGTCTTGCTGTGTTGCCCAAGATGACCCCCAACTCCTGGACTCAAGGGACCCTCCTGCCTCAGCCTCCTTAGTAGTAGCTGCGTCATCATTGCACCTAGTTTTCCCATATACTTTAAATCACCTTTAGATTACTTACAGTATTTGTTGGAGGTGTGGCTCAAGTGTAGAGCACTTGCCTAGCAAGTATGAAGCCCTGAGTTTAAAACCCCAGTACTGCAAAAAAAAAAAAACTTGGCTAGATTACTTATAATACTTATCCAATCTAAATGCTGTGTAATTAGTAATTACATTGTTTCAGGAATCATGATAAGAAAAACAGATTGCATGTGTTCAATACATAAGCAGTCTTTTTCAAATATTTAAAAAAGTTTTTTCAACTGGGTGGCAGTGGCTCACGCCTGTAATCCTATCTACTTGTAATCCTATTTACTTGAGGCTGAAATCAGGAAGATTGAGGTTTGAGGCGGTCTGGCAAATAGTTTGAGAGACGCGCCCCCCCCCCCATCTCCAAAATAACCAGAGCAAAATGGACTGGAGGTGTGGCTCAAGTGGTAGAGCGCCTGCTTTGTGAGCACCTGAGTTCATATCCCATTCCCACCCATAAAAAAAAAAAAAATTGGTCTTGAAGTCCTAGACTCAAGCCCTCCTCTGCCTTAGCCTCCTGAGTGAGATTACAGGCATATACTACTACACCCAGTTTTTTCAGAAACGGGTTGTTTTTTGGCAGTCCTGGGGTTGAACTCAGGGCTTTGAACTTGCTATGCAGGTGCTCTACTGCTTGAGCCATGTCTTCAGTCCTTTTACTCTGGTTATTTGGGAGATAGGGTCTCGCTTTTTGCACATGCTCGTCTGGATTGTGATCCTCCTATTTTGTGCTTCCCTCTATCACTTGGGTGACAGGAATGCATCATACTCAGCTTTTTCCATGAAGATGGGGTCTCAACAAAGTTTTTTGCCCTCTCGGGCCTGGTACTGTGATCCTCCTGATCTCAGCTTCCTGATGACAGGTGTGTGCTACTGTGCTCAGCTATTGATTGAGATAGGATCTCACAAACTTTTTTGCCCTGGCTTGCCTGGAACTGAGATCCTCCCAATCTCAGCTTCCCAGGTAACTAGTATTACAAGCATGAGCCACCAGCACCCAACTTTTCAGACATTTTTAATCCATAATTGGTTGAATCCACAGATGTAAAACCAACTGTATATTGAATATTTGGGGTCAACTAAAATATATTGATATTTATATCAATATATTCATAAAGGAGAATGGTGGAGGGGGTATATTCAAGTATGACATATTTGATGTATTGTAAGAACTTTTGTAAATGCCACAATGCACCCCCACCCAGCACAACAATAAACAAGAAAAAAATTTTTTTTTGAAATTATTTCCCATATACTTTTACTTTTTAATGTGGCTACTAGAAAATTTTAAAATATAATTGTGGCTTGCATCATATTCTTGTTGACAGCTCTGCTCCAGCACTTCCGTTGTGACACTTTTCCCAGCAGGACTAAGGGAAGGTTGTGTGTGTACGTGTGTGTGTGTGTGTGTGCATAGGGAGGGCAGAGCCTCTGGGCACATCCACATAAAGAACACCTTCCCAAGTGTGGACTGAGTTGAGAGCACGTGTGTACAGGTATGTCGCCCTCATTGGGTCAGTTAGGTGCTCTCAAAACATTGACTAAGCCCTCTTCGTGTTCATGATCAGAAAGGGCAGCAATATTGGTTGGTGACAGTGCAAACCTGGGTCTGCCCTGGCTACCCACTCTCTTTGGCCACCAGACCTTGCCTGATGCCTTGAAAGAGAGCAGTACACTTTGCCTGGGGAGCTGCATTGGCCCCACCAGGACAGTTTGTGAGCTTGGGAAGGTCTTGAGGTGGCCTGCAATACTGCTACCAGCCAGTGTGATGCAGACTTGGTGCCACCTGGCCTTCCCTGCAGTGCACTCCTGGAGCAGGGCCTATAGGGTTTTCTTTTCCTCTGGGCAGTTCTCACCTCGGCTTTCCTGTTTTACCTTCCTAACAATAATGCCTGCTGGCCAGGAGGTGGCACTCCCACTACCAAAGGGGAAGGGCACCCTTTGAGGACTACAGAAGGGAGAGAAGCAAGGCACCTGGGGTTCTGTAAAAATACTTATTTCACACCAGCTCTAGATGCCTGGCCTGTTAGCTAAGTTTACAGGAAATGGGGAGTAAGGGTTCACAGAGGCCACTCTGAAGGTAAATGGCAGAAAGGGTCCCAACCTGGCCTGGTTCAATCCCTGGCTTCAGGGACTTCCCAAATCATGGGTACTGATAAGATGATGCAGTTTGGGGTTTTGCCTGTATACGGGATCACAAAACGCTGAATGATCACCAGCTGATTTCAGGGGTAGGAGGAGCACTGATTTCTGAAGAGGAATGAGTGGGATGTTTTGAGCATTCAGTGATGCTTGTTTGGTTTTGGTGCATAGGAATGTCCTCCAGGGATGGAGCTTGGGAGCACCAGTTGCCACCACCCTCCCACCTCCGTCTAACTCTAATAACCCCACCACGAGGGAGCCGGGCTGAACAGAGCTGGTCCTCTCTATCACATAGCTGCAGACCATTTTCCTGGGGCCTAGACCCTTCTGTGTGGATTAAATGAGAAGACCTAAACCAGTGTCCCTACTAACAGCAAAAACATGTCATTCCTGAAAAGTTCTAAGAATCATGCAGAGCTGGACAAATGGCTCTTCTTTCATTGTTAAGTTGCTTTTGTTTTGCAGTCCTCGGGATCAAAACCAAAGGCCATATGCGTGCTAGTGCTCTGCCACCAAACTGCACCTCCAGTCCTAGATTGTTTTTGTTCACATCTTCTTTGGCTTGGAGTTACGTTGGTTTTCTCTTTCACATTGTGTTAGGTTTATGAGTCCTATCAGATTTAAAAATGAGCATTACTTGCTCTTCTTTACTTCCATATCATCCTTCAGTTTCCAGAGGGACCTGCAGTGTCCTCCCTGGGAGGAGACAAAATTCAGATGTGTGGCAGGCTGAAGGGAAGCTGGCTTCAAAGTCAAACCTGTGTTCAAGATTCCCCCCTGCCACTTGCTGGGGATGAGCTGGGCATGATGCACCCTTGAGCTGTATTTCTGCCTCTGTCAGGAAACCCCTTACAGAAAGCACCTGGGCACCAAAAGCAGCCAGGTTAGGCTGCAGCCGTGGAAAATCTCACATACCTGGCCCAGCCTACTGAGAGACTGGCCCCCAAGGAAGAGACTAGCATGCGTGGGATATACTGGAGGGTAGCAAAGCACATCTGCTCAGGGTAGATGGGATCCATACCCACTGACCAGTCAATGGGAACCACAATGATGGCCATTTGTACCAAAGGAAATGTGTGATGACTGTTCTCTACTTTGTGTTATTCTTGAGTCACTAAGCAGGCTAAGTGGGCCCAACATCCACCTCCTCAGTTCTGGTGGACTTGTTAACTATGTCTTTATTGAATCAAGTATGTAGAAGTGAAGTTCAAGAAGGAGAGGCAGGGGAAAATCAAAGTAAGTCTGGGATGTCCTGTCAGCATTCCAAGCATGGCACCACCATAATTCCCCATCCCACAGGGCAGCAAAGATCCCCTCATTCTCTGAAGAAATTTTCCAAAAATCCTCTTAAGGAGGACCCTCCTCCTCCCTGCAGGAATTGGGAGTTTTATGGTCAGGATTCAAGAGCATGGAAAGGGAGTGAGAACCCATGGAAGAACCAGGGTCTCTGGTGTCTCAGACTCACCAGAGGTGACAAATAGTGGAATGGAAATGATCTCATGGACGCTGGACACCTTGCATCTTTTCTCCAACAATTCACAATTCCCTATTGCAGGCTATGTGACTAAACTGGTAAAGAGCCTGAGAAGAACTGGAGTCCCTGGGCTGAACCTGAGGCTGGAGTCACTCCAAAAGTGGCAGCAGGGGAGTTCCTGTAAGGGACTACCCCACACCATCCTGCAGAGAGGCCACTTGGGTTTCCAGAGAAATGCTAAACGCCAGGGTGATTGATCCAAAGTTTTTATTAGCGGAACTTACATAGGGGGCTGCAGTGTGCCTTGGAAACAGCGAGGGAGAGGTTGCCTAGGGGTGTCTACAGGAGGGTATTGGGTAAGGAGTTTCCTCTGAGGTTTCAGGAACTTGGCTGTGGGTGGGGCTAGCTAGTATCTACATGTTTAACATGATCGATCTTTCAGTATTTCAGGCGTTAACCTAAACAAGTTGACCAGTGTCTGGGAATATTCATGCCCCAGCTTACATTCAAGCCTTCAGGGGAAATTTTGCAGCTGTCCGGGTCACAGCAGTTAAGGCCTCTTGTTTCTCAAGACAAGGGGGAGGGTAGAAGAGCCCCAACTGGTCAAGCAGGGGACACATGCCACATTTAGCATCCACAGGCATACCTTGCCAGGCCAGAGAGGAGGCTGAAGCTCTCCATCCACATGGGAAAGACTGTGACCCTCTGGGCAAGCCTGCTCCCCAGCATGTCTTGTCCCCATAAGGCCCCCTCAGTCTTGCAAATGCTATTAGCACCTTGAGCCCAGAAGCCACCACTTTTAAAATAAAGCTTGTTTTTCAAGCTCAAGTGTGGCTGCAGGTCTTTCTGGCTATCTTTGCCCCAAAAAAGATGAAAGTAAGAAAACTGTAAGTTAAGGAATACATGAGCCAGTACACTTCATCTGAGGTGACTATCTTGCAGTCAGTTTCCCTCAAGCCTTGCCAGGAATCCCATCATGAAATCAGTACCTAAACCCAAGAGAAAGAGGCTTGACCACTGTGTTTCAGAATATTCCTGGGAGGTAGAAAAAATGTGGGAGGAAGCTTCCAGAAATCAGACAATTTGCCTTCAGTGCTTGGTGACTGCTGTTTCCCACCTTACCGAGAATACATGCATTGGACAGGAGGCAAGAACTAGTCCCTCCTGGTGTCACAGGACAGACCAGCCAGGCCTTCTGTTCCCTGAATGGATGGACCTTTGGTGTATATGCTTTCAAAACATCCCAGTGACAACTTCTAGAGGGCCCTGTGCATACCTTTCTACTTTAGGCAGTTCAGAGCCTCAGGATTCCGTGAGCTGATGTGGGGTCCTGCCTGAAACAATAGACCAGAGTGTTGCTCAAGAAACAAACAGTTTACTGCAACTGGATTCTGCCCCGGTTCCTAACAGTTGTGTTCTCTTCCTTCTCAGGGAGAAACAAAGGCGGCCCTACTCTCAGTGGCACTCCCACACTGGCAGAACGCGGCAGCCGGGAAGGATCCAGCCAGAGGATGCCCCGTCAGCCAAGTGCCACCAGGCTGCCCAAGGGGGGTGGGCCTGGGAAGAGCACCCCTCGGGGTGGCACATAGAACAGCAGAGCCAGTGGGCTACCCTCTTCTCCACAGATGCTGCCCCACCAGCCTGTGGATCACTGTCCTCCCAGCAGCCCCATGTGCCATTTCCTTCTGTTGGCTGTTTCTGAGAGGCTAAGCTACTGGACCAGATGTTGTCATTTTTGGACATATTAAAACCCCAAAATTTAGAATGAATTCTATTTGCTGATTCTAGTTATGCTATGCAGAACTGAGTGACTTAAACCATTGACTTTGCCTTGGACCTGATTTTGGGTCAGAAGATACATGCATTACTGGGTCTTTATTGTAAACAGGTCAACATGCTTCCCTTGAAGCGAAAGGTCCCTGCAAGGTCAACCAGTGTTGGTGGCAGAGTGTGAGGATGGAGGGGAGCACTGCCTCCAAGTGACCACACTGAGGTCAACATAGATGTTGGGTGAGCATCTGTGGGTCACACATTCTGTGATTTCACTAACACCACTTTCCCACCAAAAATGCCCTGACCTTTCACGCTTAACCCTGTCTCAGGGATTTCATGGACACTCCCCACCCAGACCTCAGATTTAAACCTTCCATTTCTTTGTTTTGAGTCAGGGTCTCACTACAATGTAGAATAGGCTAACCTCCAACTCATGATCCTCCTGCCTCTGTCTTCCCAGTGCTGGGCTCAAAGGCATGTGTCATCATACCCAGCTGAACCTTCCATTTCTAACCCTTTACAATTAATCAGCATGTCTCATCAATGGGGAATGCGCCACATAGCACTCAATGGAAAAAACCTAATTTAATTTTCTTAGGCACTAGCAAATCTTTATGCTTGAAAACCTTGGATTCCTCTCGAGCTTCAGCAGTATGTACAGCAATCCTGTTCCCAAGCACCCCAACAGCGCACTGTAAGACTAACCTTCCATGTGGCTCCCAAAGCTTGTCTACTCCTGTGGGCAGAGACAGCACAACAGAGAACTGGCGTTTATACAGAAACTTTAATTGTACACAACTCAAAAGCAGCCATGCTGAGGGGTGGCAAGAGACAGGAGGAGAGGAACACCTGCAAGCCGCACCCTCCAACTTAGTATTCTTCTCCTTCTTCGGCTTCTGCCTCCACGGAATCCACGCCCACCTCTTCGTAATCCTTCTCCAGCGCTGCCAGATCCTCCCGGGCCTCCGAGAACTCCCCTTCCTCCATGCCTTCTCCCACGTACCAGTGCACAAAGGCCCGCTTGGCATACATGAGATCGAACTTGTGGTCCAGGCGGGCCCAAGCCTCAGCGATGGCAGTGGTGTTGCTCAGCATGCACACAGCCCGCTGCACCTTGGCCAGGTCTCCCCCAGGGACCACAGTGGGGGGCTGGTAGTTAATGCCCACCTGCCAGAGAAGTGAAAGAAAGTATTCCATGAAGCATGTATCAAATCTAGAAACGGTGGTTACTGTTCCTTAATCACAGACACTCAAGTGACCTGTGATGACCGGGGGAACACTCAGCTCACCCCTCAAACAGGCACTGAGCCCTCCACTGTGCCAGGCATGATGCAGGGACAGTAGGGTAATAGTTCCACAAAAGGAAAAAGCAAGCAAAGAGGAGCCTTGGAGTTGATCATGCTGGCTGGGTCCCAAGTGGCCTGAAGGGCTGTGTCCCAGCAACTGTGTCACATGATAGGAGCCCAGGGGAAGGGACTCTGGTCTTTCCTCTGAAAAATGTACACTACCTTGTATTCTTTGTAGATTCTTTTCTCCACAGGCTTCAACAAGAGAGTGATGAGTTTCAGAGGCTGAAACCTTTTCCACCCTAAAAGATTCAGACTATCTAATTGTATTTAACTGTAGGACCCCAGGAAAGACCATCCTTCCCACTAACCCACCAAATGGGTGTATGCAAAAATGACAGATCAAAGGCCAGAGATCATATGAACGCTGCTACCATAGTGGCAGGAGGTGATCCACCTCAGGTCTAAATGGAGGCAGAAGTGACATTCTGAAGTAGGTACCAAAGAGCAGACATTCCAAGTTTCATAGCCAGAGAATAATATCACCAGAGGTTTTAGCAACAGTATGTAGGGTCAACTAGAGCAGGGACCAGCAAACCTGTTCTGTAAAAGGTGACAGAGTACAAATTCCAGGCTTTAAGTTTGTTTTATCACAACTGCTCAACTGTGCTGATATATTACAAAAGCAGCCATAAACAATCCATAAGTGAATGGGTGTGGCTGAGATCAGACCAAAACTTGTTTGAAAAATTAGGAAGCTGGTCCAACAACCATGCTAACCCTTGATCTAAAGGAAGATAACCCCACGACCCCCCCCCCAAAAAAAATCCTAGGTAAGAACTGAGCATGGTGGAATACACGTGTAACCCCAGCACTCAGGAGCCTGAAGAAGATCTTACAGAGCAAGACTCTACCTTGGAGGAAAGAGGGAAGAAAGAAAAAAGCCAGTAAACTGGTGCAGTGACTCATATCTATAATCCTAGTGACTCAGGAGGTGGAGATCAGGAGAATTGTGATTTGAGGTCAGCCTAGGCAAAAAGTTCAAGAAACCCCCATCTCAAAACAATAAAAAAACAAAAAAAACTGGGCATAGTAGCATATGTCATCCCAGAAACATGAGAAGTACAAATAGGATTGTTATCCAGGCCAGCCAGGGCATAAATGCAAGACCTATTAAAAGAAAAACCAAAAAACTAAAAGCAAAAGGGCTGGGGACATAGCTCAAGTGGTATAGCACATGCCTAGCAAGCATAACAAGCACAAGGCCCTAAGTTCAAGCTCAGCACTGCCTAAAAAATAAGAAGATAAAAGAACCAATTACAATTGAACTACCAAAAGCAATGAGGGCTAACAACAGAAGGCAAAGCAAAGCACAAGAAGAAAGAAACTGACAAGAATTAGTAATGAACTACTAGAAAAAGCTGAAAAATGATAGCAAGGTTTGTAAGCATTATCAATGGAGGCTGGTATAAACTTTATGTTTGAGGCAAACCCAAGACAGAACTGCTAGGCTAAGATATTCTAATGGTTGTCATTTTCAGCACAAAAGTGTTACTTTTGCTTTGATGACATCTTAAATTTAAACTGACATTAACTTCTACAGGCCTATACAATGGAGTGGGACAATGATCTATTTATAGTAACACTGCAATTTAAAAGATACACCAATCAAATCACCAAAATTCCGATAGAAAACTTAGATTTACAAGTTAAATCTGCATTTCCTCCCTAATCCTACTAGGCAAAAAAAAAAAAATTCAGAAAAGTCTTTTTTGTCCAAAAAAAAGTACTTGCTGGTGTGATGATTCCATGAGGAAATGCAAGACACACACTGAGCAGATTATTACCACGGTTCACTAATGTCCAGCCAGGAGCCTAAGTCAGATACATAGGCCATTCTCCTCAAAGAACATGGGCCTGAGGGCAGCAGGATCTGGGGGTCTGCTGCTTGCGGACAGGACAATGACTACACATCACCCAGTCCTACCTTAAATCCCGTCGGGCACCAATCCACAAACTGGATGGTACGCTTGGTCTTGATGGTGGCAATGGCCGCATTCACATCCTTTGGGACCACGTCCCCCCTGTACAACATGCAGCAGGCCATGTACTTGCCATGGCGAGGGTCACACTTGACCATCTGATTGGCTGGCTCAAAGCAGGCATTGGTGATCTCGGCCACCGAGAGCTGCTCGTGGTACGCCTTCTCGGCTGAGATTACCGGGGCATAGGTGGCCAGGGGGAAGTGGATGCGGGGGTAAGGCACCAGGTTGGTCTGGAATTCCGTCAAGTCCACATTCAGAGCCCCATCGAACCGCAGGGAGGCCGTGATGGAGGACACGATCTGCCCGATCAGACGATTGAGGTTGGTGTAGGTGGGACGCTCGATGTCCAGGTTGCGCCGACAGATGTCATAGATGGCTTCGTTGTCCACCATGAAGGCACAGTCAGAATGTTCCAGGGTCGTGTGGGTGGTCAAGATGGAGTTGTAGGGCTCCACCACGGCCGTGGAAACCTGGGGGGCTGGGTAAATGGCAAATTCCAGCTTGGACTTCTTGCCATAGTCCACCGAGAGCCGCTCCATGAGCAGAGAGGCGAACCCAGAGCCGGTGCCACCCCAAAGCTGTGGAAGATGAGGAAACCCTGAAGTCCCGTGCACAGATCCGCCTGCAAGAAACCAGACAATGTCAGCCGAGGCCTGAGCGAGCCACGCAGCCACCCTCCAACCAGCAGGCTCACTTCCTCTGCCTCTCCAACTTCACGTGGACTCACACCATCCATCGTGAACGTGCGCTGCATACACAGAAGTGAAAGCAGACAGTAAAGACTCATGGATGCATCTCAACAGACACCGTACAGTAAGACCTTGGCAGACTCACTTGGACTCCTGACGCTGATCTAAGGTTGGCCAAAATAACCTCCCCTTCCCAATCCAAGGCCTCCCCTCCCCTCTGGGACAACATCCTCAGGAAGCCTTCTCAGTGCTGTTCTTACCAGTTTGCGGATCCGGTCCAGAACCAGGTCCACGATCTCCTTACCGATGGTGTAATGGCCTCTGGCATAGTTATTGGCTGCATCTTCCTTCCCGGTGATCAGCTGCTCCGGGTGGAAGAGCTGCCTGTAGGTCCCTGTGCGCACTTCATCTACAAAGAGACCACGTGTGCTTTGAATCGTTCAGGCCCACGGTCCTCACCAAGCGGACACACTGGGCGATGGGTTAAGTCAACAAAGTACATGCTATTCCTTGTAGGTCAACAGTGTCTCCCTAGAGAATGTCTCTGAGTGATACACAAACCATAAAAGCAATTTATGGCTCTTGGAAGGTAAAGTCAACTCAGGCAAATGCCAGCAGGACCTGTTCCACTGGAGGGAAATAAACCCACCCCACTGATTCTATGGGAATATATTGCTTTCCTGCCTGTAGTCACATCATAGGGAATAATTTAAAACTCCCTCACGAATTAGGCAGTCACCACATCAGTGTGACTTCAGCAGGACAGCACCATTTTGATAGCCTCCGTGGCCCGGGTCTCACGGAATGCAAGGGAACATTCTGTCGCCTCCTGGGGGACATTGAAAGGTGCTCTCTTTTCCATCTCTTGTTGGAAACTACTTCGAATTTGGAGGAACAAGTGGATGTTCTATACCTACCTTTCCTTGGCTAAGAGCATGTGACTCCTGTGCAC